GCTCAGCTTATTCTGGGGAAGGAGCCTGGGATCAAGGCCAGAGTGGGATGTCCAGCTGTCAGTCTCCTCTGGGTCTTGGGACCACAGCCAAGGACCAGGACTGAGGAGGGGAGGTCTCGGGGTCTAGGAGGCACACTCAGTCCCCCACGAAGGATTCGTCTGGAGGATAATGCTTTATTTGTGGTTACAGACCCAACTGTGCCTTAATGTGCTGTGTGACTTTGGGCAAGTTGTGTAACCTCTCTGAGCCTTTCTTCATCTGTTAAATGCCTATTTATGAGGATCCAATCCAGCAACACATGCCATGCCTCCAAATGCAAAAAGTGGCTGAGGCTGGGCGCTGATTGCATCTTTTCCTTTTAGTGATTTTCACGTATTCCCACATGTTGCATAATGACTGTATTGCAGAAAACAACATACTGTATTAGAGTTTAAACAGAGGAGGAGAAGGTGTGGGGGTTACAGAATGTTATAGGATGTCAGAGCTGTGAAGGGCCTCAAAGAACCCAACCATACATTTCACCTTTCACAGAAGGGGAAACTGAGGACGGAGGAGCCCAAGGTCAGAAGAAAGCACCACACAGATGTGAGGTGGTATTCATTTGTTTTGTTTTTAAGAATAGTACATGTTCATTTTATTCTTATTTTTAAAGCAACTGTTATTTTTAGAAAATACCCAAAAGGAAAAATGGTAAACTTGCCTATCAAAAAAACTTGCCTATAATTCTACTACCTAGTAATAATTTTTGTAAACTTGTTTTTTCTTTTTTATTGAGACAGAGTTTCACTCTTATCTCCCAGGCTGGAGTGTGGTGGCACGATCTTGGCTCACTGCAACCTCTGCCTCCCAGGTTCAGGCGATTCTCCTGCCTCAACCTCCCGAGTAGCTGGGATTACAGGTGCACGTCACCACACCCAGCTAATTTTTGTATTTTTAGTAGAGACGGGGTTTCACCATGTTGGCCAGGCTGGTCTCGAACTCCTGACCTCAGGTGATCCTCCCACCTCGGCCTCCCAAAGTGCTGGGATTACAGGCATGAGCCATGGCACATGGCCTGTTGTAAACATCTTAAAGCATGTCCTTCTCTTTCTTTCACTTTCTCTCCCTTTTTTCCTATCCTGTCTCCTTCCTTTCCTCCTCCTCCTCTTCCTCCATATTTTACTGTTTTAAATGGACTCCAACTAGATATATGTTATTTTATAACTGGCTTGTCCACTTAACATAACAAAATTTTTACATTATCTGATATTCTTCATTAGCATGACTGTTAACAGCTGCTTATTCCTTTGAGCGGAACTATCACAATTTCTTTCAATGGTCACCTGTTACTGGACACTGTGATTGTTTCCAACTATTTTACCTATTGCAAGTTTCAGTTGCAAAGTGATTGAGGTTATACTGTATGGGGCCGGGCGCGGTGGCTCATGCCTGTAATCCCAGCACTTTGGGAGGCCAAGGCAGGCGGACACGAGGTCAGGAGATCGAGAGCATCCTGGTTAACATGGTGAAACCCTGTCTCTACTAAAAATACAAAAAAAAAATATATATACACACACACACACACACACACACACACACACACACACACACACACACACACTGTCCGGATTCAAACAACTTGGTTCAAACCAGCTTCCTCACCTATAAAATAAAATGGGCATCATAATTTCTCCCTCTTTGGATTAGTATGATGATTAAATAATGAGATCTGAATCCATGGAAAGGCTTTTATAAGGTGTTTGACACATAATAGGTGTTCAGTAAAGTTTTGCTGTTAGCAGTCCCTTCCTGGCACATGCACGTTTTTTCTGTTTGACTCTTTGAAAAGCGCATGAATTTGAATGTATGTATGTGTTTTCCTCAATATGGCCACACCCTCCTCATAACCCATATCTCAGTTGGCTGAGAAGGGCCTGTTTGCTCTGCTCCTTAACTACTCAGAGTGGGGACGGAGTTTCTAGCTGGGTCAGTGAGCCCTGGAACTGGTTTAAGGGTTGCAGGGAATAGGGTTACAGGGAAATGTCAGCACCTCCCTCCAGTTGGGAAAACTGCCTCTCCCTTTTTGTGTCCAGGACTCATCACTAGAGCTGGGGTTGATAATTGTGGAAGCTGTGGATGAGGAAAATTAAACTCAGTCCTGCAGGGAGCAGGTCATAGGGCGTTTCACGGAAAAGGCAAGGCCATTTATTTGTGAACAGTTACTCTGTGCCAGCTGGGCACTGGGGCCAAGAACTGCAGGCACATAGTCTCATTGGTCATCCCAAGAGCCCTGTAAAATAATTATGGGCCCATGTTACAGAGGTGGAATCTGGGATTCAGAGAGGTTAAGCAGCTTGCCCAAGGCCACACAGCTTCCAAGGGAAAACATGGAGTTCTCTGTTTGCCCACAAAGCCCGTGTGCCTTAACACCTGTGCCCTGCAGCCTCCTGTCAGCATGGCATTTCTGCCTGAGTGGGCAAATGGAATAAAGAATCCAGGAGGTTTAGTATTAGAAGATAATCTCTGATAACCTCAGAGACAATCTCATTAAGCCCCAGGTTCCAAAGCTCAGAGAAAGGAAGGTGCTTGTTCCTGGTCACTCAGGCTGGAAATTGGGTCTCTACTTCCCTAGAAGTAGAGAATATTTCGTCATTTCTTCTTGGTTCACTCCGGAAATCCTCACCTGCCTCCTCTCTCCCTCAGACTCCCTGTGGATTTTTTTTTTTTTTTTTTTTTTGACAGAGTCTTACTCTGTTGCCCAGGCTGGAGCACAGTGACATGATCTCGGTTCACTGCAACCTCCGCCTCCCAGGTTCCAGTGATTCTTGTGCCTCAGGTTCTGCAGACACAGCCACGCACATGCCTGTTGCTGGTAAAAGGATGAAAGTCATCAAGCCCTGGCAGTAGGAGTCAGAGGTTTTTTGTTGGTTTTGTTTTGGGGACAGAGTCTTGCTCTGTCGGCCAGGCTGGAGTGCAATGGTGCAATCTCGACTCACTGCAACCTTTGCCTCCCAGGTTCAAGCAATTCTCCTGCCTCAGCCTCCCAAGTAGCTGGGATTACAGGCACCTGCCACCACGCCCAGCTAATTTTTGTATTTTTAGTAGAGACAGGGTTTCACCATGTTGCTCAGGCTGGTCTTGAGCTCCTGACCTCAGGTGATCCGCCCACCTCAGCGTCCCAAAGTGCTGAGATTACAGGTGTGAGCCACTGTGCCCGGCCAGGAGTCAGAGGTTTTTGTTGTTGTTTCTTTTCTGGGTGACCAGGAACTAATCTCTTCTCTTCTCTGGGCCTCAGTGTCCTCACCTATACAATGGAATAATCCTTTTCTTCCCACTTTGACGTTCTGTTCTTGAACATCTAGTGCTATAAAGAAGAAAGCATTTTGGGAAACCAAAAGGCTCTGTGTGGAACCAGGGCCTCACTATAAAATCGGAACATTGGCTTTGTGAATTGCAATTAGTTGGTAATAAGCTCCACTCTCGATTTTATTGTGCACAGGTATTAATTATCTCTGCGGGCTGCAATGCTGTGAGCACCAAGCTTGGTTATTAGAAGCCGAGTCTTTGTGTGTTTGAAACTCTACTGCAGCTCATCAGCTTTGTGACCTTGGGCAAGCTGCTTGGGCTCTAGGGGCCTCTGTTTACTCAGCTGTGAAATGGGGTTGTCACATCAGCCTCATTGGGTTGTTATGAGGGCTATGAGTCAGGCTTGGGCAAGTAGCTAGGTCGGGTGGATCATCCAGGATATATTTATTGTATTTCTATTATATATCGGGTTCTGTGTGCTGGGTCCTGGGGATATGATGATGAGAGCCTCACAGAGCTCCCAGTTGAGTCAAGAGACAGATGTTAGTCAAATAATCACATACAAAATATAGTTCCAAATGGGGAGTCCCCAAGGAGGGCGTGCTGGAGCTGAGATCTGGAGGTTGCCTAGAAGTTAACAGGGAAAAGAAGTGGGACTGGATGAGGGGAGGAGCAGGGCACGTCTGTCCCAGGAAGAGCAAGGAGGCCTGGGTGGCAGGAGCACGCTGACCAAGGGCAGAGAGGGTGGCAGGAGAAGAGGCTGGAGCAACGGCCAGCCTATGGAGTTTCATCTTCTTTCTCAGAGCCATGGTAGCTAGCTGTGCGTCTGAAGCATGGAGGGGTCTTGTTTGGAAGCTTCTATCTTGGAAGATGGCATCGGTGCAGTGCGGGGAACAGATTAGTGGACCCTAGAGCTTTCCAGGTAAGGCCGATCCAGGGACCCACGTGGGGATGCAGAAACAGGGACAGATTCTGGTGAAATTTAGGAAATGAAATAACTGGGAGTTGATGATGGATTGGTTACGGGATGTAAGGGAAAGGGAAGCATCCAGGGTCACAGTTGATTCTCAGTATGTACCTGGGTGAAAGATGGGTCAAACTGAGGAGGGGTGGGTTTGGAGGGTGGCAATAGTAGGAGCTCAGTCTTGGACATGCTGCTTCGGTCTGCTAGAATTTGGCCTGTGGGTGGGGACAGTGATCTAAGAGGGGGCGGTGCATGAGCAAAGGCAGGGAGGAGGGTTAGTCGTGCTTGGGGGTGCAAGGAAATGGAACAGACTGCACTGCAGGTGGTTCTCCTTGGTGTTAGGTGGCTGCGCCTAAGATGAGTTTGGGGTTATCCAGGGGCCACAGGCCATGACCAGCAATGGCAGCCACCTGGCATTGATAGCAGTGCTGCCTGGGTTAATGACCAGGGAGGGAGGGTGAGTGAGTGACAGGGTGTCAGGGGAACCCGCCCCTCACACAATAGCACACATGGCCGCCAGGGCTGGTAGGGAGGGGCCTCATTAGGGTTTGGCTCTGCTCCATGTGGGGCTGGGGGCTGCCAGGAGAGCCCTGCCACCCAGATGTGCGAAAAGGCAGGGAAGGGGATAGAGGGGTGGGCGATTACTAGGATGAGGGCTCCTGGTTCTAGCCCTGGCTACGCTAGATATTTACCAGCTGACCTTGGGAAAGTCCACTCATTCATTCATTCATTCATTCATTCATTCATTCATTCATGGAATGCATTCATCAGCCGTAAACAGTGTGCCAGGCTTCAGGAAAAGTATTAAGATCTAGCCTTTAGAGGAGACTGGAGACTTATACCTAAGTAGCAGCAATAGTTGTAGTCACAATAATAAAAAAGCTCAATACATGACTGTGTTCTGGGTCCCCTGCTGTACCCTTGGTAGGCATCTCCTCAGTGAATCTTTACAGCAGCCCCTGTGGGGTGGCTACTCTTCTTATCCCTGTTTTACAGGTGAAGAAACTGAGGCTTAGAGAGGTGAAGCTTCAAAGGTCAGAGCCGGCAAGAGATGAGGCTGGGATTTGAACCCAGGTCCACAGTGACTCTAAGATTTTTTTCTCTCTTACATGGCTGGTTCCCAAATCTGACTGCTTATCAGAATTACCTGGAGGGCTTTTTGGACAATACAGAGGCCTGATTTTTTTCCTTTTTCTTTTTGTTTTCTGACTCAGAGTCTCTGGGTCCTGGGTGGGGCCAGTGTTGGGAGCCTCTTGTTCTGTGAAGATCCTGCCTCTCTCGCTTGACTCGCTCTGTCCCGGGTACACAGGGCTTGCTGTTCTCAGGGAAAGCCCACTGGCTCCCCCACCTTGGCCTTTCCACTTGCCCTCCCAGAACACTGCCCCAGCCCTTCTTGTGGCTGGCTCTTGCCCCCTCTTCCTTCCAGTGCCTTGTTTGAATGTCACCTCCTCATAGAGACTTTCCTGACCATCCTATAACCCTTCTCCTCCAACCCATTACTCTTGGCCCCATGGGTTCTCTACCAGGGCCAGTCACCTGGGACACTTAAAATCTCTGATGCCCAGAGACCGACTCTGTTGGCCTGGGGCGAGTCCCAGGCTTCAGTGCCACCTGGCCGGGGACACGGATCATCACTCGGTCTCATTGTTCACAGCTCTCTCCTTGAAATTATACATGTGCTTGCTTATTGTCCATGTCTCTGCTAGAGTAGAGAGCAGGGGACTGGCCTGTCTTGGGCCCTGCCATATTCCCGGCACCTTTAAAAGCACCCGCCACACAGTAGGAGCTCAGTGAGTACCTATGAATGAAGGAATGGGATGCTGGGGCTTGAGAAAAGACAGCTTGACTGACGATCAGGATCGATCTGTCCCCAACATCTGGTGAACCCTTGGAGGGTTCTTACAACAGGGAAAGTTCACCTGATCTGCCAGTTTCACACCTCCATACTGCCCAGAACATCCCACTCTGGCTGCAGGACCACCTCGGGGTCAGGACAGTGGGTTGAGATGGCAGGAATCGCCAAGGCCTCCCTGAGATTCAGGTTGCATATTGCTAGAGTCAGAGCTGGAAGGGCAGAAGTAGTGTTGAGTCTGAGCTCTCACCATGCAGATGGGCCCTGAGGCCTAGTGACGGAAGGAGCCTCGGCTAAGGTCAGGCCATGGTTGAAGAGGGCCTAGGAGGTAGGAGCTACAGCATGCTATGTGACCTTGGCCAAGCCTCTGACCTTCTCTGTGCTTTAGTCTCCCCATCTGTACCTGCAAGGCCTGGGCTGAGATGATCCCAAGCCCAGGACGTCAGGAGTTCGTTCCCTGAGTCCTTTCCTGGGCAGCGCAGACTGCAGAGGGTTTGCAAGGGGTTAAGCTCCTCCGGCTCTTGCTCTGCACGCAGACAAACCCCCTCCTTCTGACAAACACTTGTAGGAAATCAGGCTGGGCGCTTCCTGCCGAGGCGAGGCGGCCTCAGCCGCGGCAGGGGTGGGGAGAGGTGGGGAGCGATGCTGGTCTGTGAGCAGCAGCTTGAGCTGGCAGAACGGCCTGGAGGCGGGCCAGGGCGCAATGGAGACAGGGGGCTCCCTGGGTTTGGAACAAAGACTTCACAGACAGGTCCCCTGAAACTGGGTCGGCAGGACGGTGGTGGAGCCCGAGAGAGGTAAGAGATCGGAACGGAGGAGGGCCCAGGAGGCCGCCTTCCTTCTGGACGGGCCAGTCACAGACTCTCCGGGACAGTCCAGGCAGCCGGACCAGCCCAGCCAGGAAGTTGCAGCTGCTGGAGCTGCACCGCTTTTCTCTTGGCTCAGGGGAGCCCAGCCTCCAGAGCAAGGGTGGTTTTAAGAAGGATTTCGTCAAGCCTCAGGATGCTAGATTCCAGTCCCAGCTCTGATTCTGATCTCTTGTGAACTTGGGCAGGCCAGTCCATCTCTGTGCCTGGGGTGTCCTCGTCTGCACCTGGAGAGTTAGTGTCCTTGGTTGCTAAGGGGTCTCAGAGACGATGCAGGGATGGGGAGCAGGCCAGGAGGCAGTGACGACGTAGGGAGGTGGTCCCAATCGAAGGAGTGGCCCCTTATGCCAGCTGTGTAAGGGCAAGGAGAGGAGCCAAGGACTGTCCGAAGACCAGCAGACCCAGCTCAGCTCTCGAGGATGGCAAGACCAGAGCTGTCAACAGCCAGGGCACGTTTCTCTTTCTCCTCGGCCTGTGCTGCTGGAGCGGGCTGGGGGCAGGGAGAGGACACACAGAGGGGGAGTGGCTGGTGCTTCCTTGTGGGACTAGTGTCCACACAGCTGGTGGGAAGCCCTTGAGAACAGCAGGTCTGTGCCCTGCCAACCGGTAGAGGAGGGGGGGATGGTTGAGCCCAACAACACAGCCTTTTTGGAAGGTCTGGTTACTGATTTGGGGGGGTCTTCCTTCCCCATCTCCCTGACACATCTTACAGCCTTGGTTTCAGAGTTGCGCACCCCAGCTTTGAATCCTCTGTGCTTCCTGACTGTGAGGTCTTCTGAAAGCCTGCCACGCCTCTGTGCCTCAGTTTCCTCATCTGGGAAGTATCAGGGTGGTGGTGGGGGTAGAAGCACGGGGGCACCCTGGACAGCCCTGGCTGGATGGGAAGGGGTTGCAGAGGGCAGAGGGAGGCAGTGTGGGCTGCGTGGCTGGGCTGGCAAAGGAGAACCTGGGAGTCTGGGCAGTTCTGAGGGACTGAGCCATAAAGGGAAGGGTCCCTGGCTATGGAATGACTAAGCAGGCGGAGAAGCCCTGTGTGGGTGGTGGGGAAGAGGAGACCATCCCACCCAGGAACTGAAGATAGACACCTCGGGGGTCTATTAGGCCCCTGAGAGAGCAGGGGCAGTGGCAGCTTGCGAGTAAGAAGATGTACAGAAGGAGGGTGCAGTGGCTGCTACTTCCTTGTGGGGCCAGTTTCTCCAGGGATGGCAGGGACCCTGAACTCCACAGCCCTCCCCAGCTCACACGGCTGGAGTCTTCACCAAACCTCACTCACTGCCTTTTAGGAGCAGCCCTGCTGCCCTAACGACGGCTGGCTGGAACAACTCTGCCTTTACCTGGCATTCAGGCACCCCTGTCCATAGCTCTCCTTCAAAGTCAAGCCATACTTTCAGACCTCCGTGCCTTTGCCTATGCTGTTCCCTCTGCCTGGAATGCCCTCCCCAATCTTCTACCCCAAATCCTCACTGTTCCTCAAGCCCACCTTAAAGCTTCCTTTAGTAACGCTTCTGTATTGTACTACCCCCCACTGTTTAAAATTTTGGAATGCTTTTACTCTTTTCTACATTCTTTGCATCTTATGTAGTCCCTGGTATATAGTAGGAAGTCGTAGGGCTTTTTTAAAAAGTTAATTTGCACCCACGGGGTGCTCGGTATGTATCTTTGTACTTTGAAATGTGATCTCAGGGAGGAAGAGAGAAGTTAGCAGTTCTGAGGCTATTGCCCTCAGGAGCTGAGTCAACCAGGGACTTCAAATTCAAAGCTCTTTGAGTCTCATCCCCTGCCTCCCAACCCACCCTAGCAGGATGATATCCCCTTGCAGTAGCAAGAGCAGGTGGTACTTTCTCTCTACGGTGAGGAAAATGCAAGCCCAGCTATACACAGTGAGTAACAGCAGCTGGGACTAGCACCCATCTCCTAATGCCCAGCCTGCTTCTCTACCACAGCATCATCCCAGCCTGAAGTTGGCAGGTAGTTGGCACTAATGTGTGTTTGTTGACTGACTAGCTGAATGGCCATTTCTGGGGCTTTGTGGTGCGGAGGGCCATGGCTCACATGGAAGACAGAGGCCTCGCTCAGGAAAGGCTCACTGGTTTAGGCGCTGGGGGCAAGTGTGAAACTCTAGCCAGTCACTGCAGCTGCCTCTGACCTGGTTACAGTGAGATTTCTGCCATGACTGAGTCATCCCAGAAGACAGGATGTTCCTCTTTGTGCACCCAGAGGCCTCTGTGATTGGGCAGGCTGCTCTGTGGCAGAGCTAGAAAAAAAAGCCCTTCAAAAAGTCCAAAAACCACATGCCTCCCCCGGCCCCTTCCTCAGCAGAGGCTTCAGAACCAGAAAAGCAACCGCTAAACTGTAGCCCCTCCTCCACCTGCCATAACAGCAGAAGCGAGGTGGCCTAGTGAACTTCAAAGGGCAGGCCCTGCCTGAGGCCCTGGTTTAAAATGCAGATTCCTGGGCCCTATCCCAGGGCCACTGAGTCAGGCTGTCTGCAGGTTGTTTCAGGAAACTGCCTGCTTAGAGGATTCTTAAGCACACTGAAGCTTAAGATCCCTGGCAGTGATTTCCAAGAAGGGTACAGGCCCTGCAGAAGGTATGAGAAGCAAGAATTAGAGCTTCTATTTAAAATATAGTTGACCAGCTGGGTGGGTGGCTCATGCCTGTAATCCCAGGACATAGGGAGGCTGAGGCAGGAGGATCACTTAAACCCAGGAGTTCAAAACCAGCCTAGGCAACATGGCAAAACCCCATCTCTACAAAAAAAATTTAAAAATTAGCCAGGCATGGCGGTACGTACCTGTGGTCTTAGCTACTCAGGAGGCTGAGGTGGGAGGATCGATTGAGCCCAGGAGGTCAAGGCTGCAGTGAGCTCTGATCGCCACTGTACTCCAGCCTGGGTAACAGTGAGACCCTGTCTCAATAAAATAAAATACAGTTGATCCTTGAACAACACAGGGGTTAGGAGTGCCTCATGCAGTCAAAAATCTGCTTATAACTTTTAACTCCCCCAAAACTTTATCAATAGCCTGCTGTTGACTAGAAGCTTTGCTGATAACATAAACAGTTGATTAATGCATATTTTCTGCGTTATATGTATTTTGTACTGTTTTCTTACAATAAAGTAAGCCAGAGAAAAGAAAATGCTAGGCTGGGCGCGGTGGCTCAAGCCTGTAATCCCAGCACTTTGGGAGGCCGAGACGGGTAGATCACGAGGTCAGGAGATCGAGACCATCCTGGCTAACACAGTGAAACCCCGTCTCTACTAAAAAAATACAAAAAAAATTAGCCGGGTGAGGTGGCGGGCGCCTGTAGTCCCAGCTACTCGGGGAGGCTGAGTCAGGAGAATGGCGGGAACCCGGGAGGCGGAGCTTGCAGTGAGCCGAGATCACGCCACTGCACTCCAGCCCGGGCGACAGAGCGAGACTCTGTCTCAAAAAAAAAAAGAAAGAAAATGCTATTAAGAAAATCATAAGGAAGAGAAAATCTACTTAAGTCTTTCATTAAGTGGAAATGGATCATCACAAAGGCCTTCATCCTGTCATCTTCACATTGAGGAGGAGGAATTAAGAGGGGAGATTGATCTACTGTCTTAGGGGTAGCAGAGGCAGAAGAAAATTCACATATAAGTAGAGTTCAAACTGTGTCATTAAGGGTCACCTGTGTTTGTTTTCTTTTTCCTTTGTATTTTTATTTATTTATTTATTTATTTGGAGACGGAGTTTTGCTCTTGTTGCCCAGGCCAGAGTGCAATGGCACGATCTCGGCTCACCGCAACCTCCGCCTCCCAGGTTCAAGCAGTTCTCCTGCCTCAGCCTACTGAGTAGCTGGGATTGCAGGCATGCACCACCACGCCTGGCTAATTTTGTATTTTTAGTGGAGACGGGATTTCTCCATGTTAAGGCTGATCTCGAACTCCTGACCTCCAGGTGATCTGCCCGCCTCGGCCTCCCAAAGTGCTGGGATTACAGGCGTGAGCCACTGCGCCCGGCCTCCTTATTATTTTTAGTAGAGATGGGCTTTTGCCATGTTGCCCAAGCTGGTCTTGAACTCCTGAGCTCAAGTGATCTGTCCACCTCAGCCTCCCAAAGTGCTGGGATTACAGGTGTGAGCCACTGTGCCTGGCCAATTTTCAATTGCATCTTTTTAGAAAATCACTTTTGAAAATCTTATTTCTAATACATGTAATATATTAGCATGATGTGTTCGAGCACATTTATTTTTACGGATGGGTTGTGTGATTAAAAACATATTGGGGGCCACTAGGCCGAAACTGACAGTTGCAGATCTTGCTCTGGCAGGAAGTAGCCGGGTGATCTTAGCCAAGTTCTACCCTCATGTTTGCAGAGAGGGCAGATTGAGAACTTAAAAGTAAAGCTTCTAGCCAGGCTGGCGCCGAGTGGGCTCTTCACATGTGGCGGGGACTGTGAGGCTGGAAGACAACACGCAGGGTGATCTGGAGGAAATTGTGGGGCTCTGCATTTGGGGGTAGAGAGGAAGACTGGGCGGGGACAGAGGAGAGAAGCCCCGAACACCCATCCACAGAGCAGGAGCTGCAGCCAAGGAGGGAAGAATGGTATTCCCTGTCCCTCCCTCCTCCAGCCCTTGAGAAGTCAGCCTTTCCCGGGCTGCACTGTTCCCTGGGGAACTTTGTGTCCACAAATAGTTGCCTGCTGACTTTTCTCAGCCACACAAATCAAGCAGGATCCAAGTGCTCACGAGGATAAAGGGACAAACACAGACCTTCTATCCTGGGAGGCCTGGAGTCGTACTCCCTTCGACACAGCATGCAGGGGAGAAAGCCCAGACTGTGGGCCAGGAGGCTGACTTTCGCCCCTGCCTTGTCCTGACCCATGTGTGGCTTTGGGTAAGGCCTCTCCCCCTCTCTGGACCCCAGTTTCCCCATCTGTGGAAGAAGGCCTTTGTGTGAGCCGCCCTGGGGGCCGCTGCGCTGATGGGCGGCAGTGCTCTGAACCCTGCATGGCAGGGAGCTCCCTGGGGGACCGTGCCCACTCTGGGTCAGCTTTGCACTTCCTGGACCTGGCTCAGTGCTGGCATAGAGGAAGCGCTTAGGGAAATAGCGGGAGCGTGGGAAGGAATAGGCAAAAGGAGACGAGAGGGAGAAGGAAAGAGGGAAAGAAGGAGAGGGTTGAGGGAAGGCAGCGGAGGAGCCCTTCTCTGGCTACCCTGTTCCTGCAGCAGCCGCCTGACAGGTCCCTGTGTGGCCAGCCTCCCTGGTTCATTCTCCCAGAGCAGCCCGAGGGGAACTTTTAAACCACACCTCTGATGGGCTTTCCCTGTGTTCAATACCCCAGCCATCGGCGAAAACCACTCCCAGGTCCAGGAAAGCCCCGGTAGGCTTGCTCCCCGTCCCCAGGTCGCCTCACTAGGAAGGCTTTTTCTTTAAATTGAGGTGAAATTCACGTAACATAAAACTAACCATTTTTAGATGAACAGTTCAGTGACATTTAGTATATTCACAGTGTTGTGTAACTGCCACCTCCATCTAGTTGCAAAGCATTTTTCTCACTTCCGAAGGAAATCCCATACCCAGAGCAAGCAGTGCCCACTCTCCTCTCCCCCAGCCCCTGGCAAATACCGTCTGCTTTCACTCTCCAGGGAGTTACCTTGCCTGGATATTTCCTATCCATACAATCACACTATATGTGGCCTTTGTGTCTGGCATCTTTCACTTAGCATAATGTTTCTGAGGTTCATCTATACTGTAGCATGTGCTGGGACTTCATGTCTTTTTGTTTGAGCACCTGTTTTCAATTATGTTGGTTAGTGGAATGCTACTTTTTTTTTTTTCTTTTGAGACAGGGTCTCACTTTGTTGCCCAGGCTGGAGTGCAGTGGTGCTGTCATGGCTTACTGCAGCCTCAACCTCCCGGGCTCAAGTGATCCTCCCACCTCAGCCTCTCGAGTAGCTTGTGACTACAGGTGTGCACAATCACACCTGGCTAATTTTTTGTAGAGACGAGGTTTTGCCATGTTGCCCAGGCTGGTCTCGAACTCCTAGACTCAAGTGATCCACTCACATCAGCCTCCCAAAGTGCTGGGATTGTAGGCGTGAGCCATCATACCTGGCCTGGAATGCTTTTTTCATCATCCTCCCCCACCTCTCAATCTGAATTCTTACCCAAGTAAGGTCAGAGAAGATTCTCAGAGGAACTAGCTTCTAACCTGGGATCCCCAGACTACCCTGGCCTGTGTCAGGGCAGCCCCCGTGCCTCCTCCGGCACATCTCACCTGGAGTTGTAGTTGCCTGGTGATGTCTGCTTCCTCCTGGGCCGTCAGTTCTCCAGTGAGCAGGGCCTGTGCCCCATGCCCACACGAAGAGCCAGTACTCAGTAATACTAGCTAGGATGCATTCAACACCTGTTGGTCGGTGCACTGGCCGCTGGGCTCCTCATCGTGTGTCTCATCTAGTTTATAAAACCCTGGAGGGGGCCGGGCATGGTGGCTCACGCCTCTAATCCCAGCACTTTAGGAGGCTGAGGCGGGTGGATCACGAGGTCAGGAGTTCGAGACCAGCCTGGCCCATATGGTGAAACTAAAAAATACAAAAATTAGCTGGGTGTGGTGGCGCACGCTTGTAGTCCCAGCTACTCAGGAGGCTGAGGCAGGAGAATCACTTGAACCCGGGAGACGAAGGTTGTAGTGAGCTGAGATTGTGCCAATGCACTCCAGCCTGGGCAACAGAGTAAGACTCTGTCTCAAAAAAACACAAGCAGACAAAAAAACAACCCTGGAGGGAGAAAGGAATTATTATCCCAGCTTTATTGAACTTGCCCAAAGTCACACAGCTTTGGGAGGACGCAGCCAGGAGTTGAACTGGGGCTAATTCCAGAGTTCCTGCTGGTAACTTCTTGTTCCAAATAAAAGAGGGAATCAGGAGAATTAATGATATTTCTTGAATGTGTTCCTGACAGGGCACAGGCAGGATGGCCGATGCCAACAGGAGCCAGCGGTGACTCTGGGGCCCCTGGCAGCAGTTCTGTCTCCTAAAGATGAAGTGGCCCAGGTGAAGCTCAGGCCAACCCCGATGGCCAGCTCAGAGACTGAGATCCGCTGGGTTGAGCCTGGCCTGGGGAAGGGCCCCCGGCGGCGGCACTGGGCCTGGGCTGAGGACAAGAGGGATGTGGATAGTAGTTCACAAAGCTGGGGAGAAGAGGGACTCTTTCCCAATGCCACCAGCCCCGAGCTCCTGGAGGACTTCCGCCTGGCCCAGCAGCACCTGCCGCCCCTGGAGTGGGACCCGCATCTGCAGCCCGATGGGCATCAGGATTGTGAGTCAGGAGAGACTTCAGGAGAAGGTGAGACTGACACCCCTCCCCCTACGGTGGTGTCCCGTCCCCCACATCACATGTTCTAGCAGGGGGGAAGGGAGTGGAGGTTGCTTCAACATTTTCAATTAAATTCTACAAAGTCTATAATTTAAAAATTTTTTAAATTTAAATTGTATAAGTAATACCATTCATTGCAGAACAACCAGAAAATATAAGGCACAGAATTAAGTAAAATTTAAAATTACTCATTGTCCCACTCCATCCCCAGATAACCACTGTTTTCCATATGTGTAGTTATGCAAATGTAATGTGAATATGGAACAGTATTCTACATACTTCATTATAACCTGCTTTTTGGTTAACTTAATAGATATGAACATTTTCCTAGTTCATCAAATCCTCTCCCACAAGTCATTCCTAGACTTCCATAGGTATCCGTGGTTAATCGACCAGTATCCTACTGCTGGGCATTTTAGTAGTTTCTAGATTTTGCTGTTATAAATAATGCAGTGATGAATGTCATTAATATATCTTTGCACACTTGATTTGCTCATAGCTCTGGTAATTTGAATTACTTAGTCTTGGGGTTGTGTCCAATTTTTATTTTATTTTATTTATTTATTTATTTATTTATTTATTTATTTATTTATTGAAGCAGGGTCTTGCTCTGTTGCCCAGGCTGGAGTGCAGTGGCATGATCATGGCTCACTGCAAGCTCGACCTTTCGGGCCCAATCAGTCCTCAGAACTCAGTCTCCCGAGGAGCTGGGACTACAGGTGCATGCCACCACACCCAGCTAATTTTTATATTTTTTGTAGAGACAGAGTCTCACAGTGTTGGCCAGGCTGGTCTCAAAATCCTGGCCTGAAGCGACCCTCTCACCTTGGCCTCCCAAAATGCTGGGATTATAGATGGGAGCCGTCATGCCTGGGTATTTTTAAGGTTTTTTAAAATTCCAATTAGCAATGGGAATGTTGGCATTTCTTGTTTTCTACAATAACTATGTTCTTGTTGCATCCAGACGAACTTAGACTAAATTCCTCGCTTTGCTTAGCAAGTTCCTTCTGCCTGAATCTTGCTTTTTCCATCTATAAAATGAGAGGAATCATATCATAGAGAATAGTAAGAGCTGGATATGTGGTAGTGATTGCGCTTAGATTATGAGCGAGATGCCCCTGTTTTAGGGTCCTGTGACTCCCGCAGGCTGTTGCGGTTGGTAGAGAAGCCTCCTCTGGTAGCAGATTGTGCTATTACTCAAAGTTTCACACACCTGATCTGCTCAAAGTGAGCACTGCCCACTGCTGCCCACTGAGGAGCCATTTCTGAGCACTCTTTCCAGCAAGGGATGGTAACTGAGATGCACTGGGTGGACAGGGCAGAGGCATCTCTTCCTGGGGTCACATGGTAACCCCCTGCTATGATGTAATAGCTGCTACCCTGTCCTGTGCCTTTATTATGTGCCAGGCACAGGGCTGGGCAGGGTCTGGCCCTCTCTTGTTCCCTCCTCACCACCCTCTGTCAGGTAGGAGGAACTAGCCTCAAGTTTGACTGTGGATTGCCAGAGAGGTCAGCAGCTTGCCTGTGGCCCCAGTGAGGGGTCACAGGAGCCAGGATTGAACCCAGGGCTCCCTAGCTCCAAAGCCCAGGCCCCTTCACCCCTGGTGCGTGACCCCTAGTGGTGGAAGCAGACTCACCTGCATGACTGGGGCCTGGGTCCCAGGTCCAGGGAACCACTGGGTGATCTTTGGCAACTTACGTAACCTCCCTGGGTTTCAAGTATGTTGCTGTAAGCAAGAGTAACTTGCGGAAGGAGGTGTTAAGTGGTTAAGAGATGTAGAGGCATCAAGGGTAGGGGAAAGAGCATGGGGGAGTAGAGAATGAGACAAAGGTGCATCTGCCTGAACAGAGAGTCTATGCCTGGTGGTACCCAAACTGTGTCTCATGAAACTTTGGACCTATCCCAGAAGTCAACACGGGGTCTAGAGCAGAATGGGTGCCTCCGTAAACAATGACTGCATGGATGGTGGTTAGATGCATGGATGAATGGACGGGTGGGTGATGGATGGGTGAATGGGTGGGTAGATGGATGGATGTTGGGAGGAAGCTTGGTGGGATAGATGGCTGGGTGGGTGGATGGATACATATTTATTGAGTACTCACTATGTAATAATTACAGTAACTGTCTACTTCCTGGGAGCTTTATATACCTTATCTTCCTCCCTCCTTCCTTCCTTCCCTCCCTTCCTCGCTCACCTTCCTTTTCTCCTTCCTTCTGTTCGGTCAACAAATAGTGTCAGGAACCAGCACTGCAAATCCAATCGTGGACAAAACAGAGAGCATCCTTGGCTTCATAGAGCTTGCAGTGTAGGGGGCGAGACACATGTCAGTGAAACAACCACACAAATAAATGGAAAGCAGCTGCTATGATAAGTGTTACAAAATAGAGGTAACCAGTCCTATGAGGGCCTGTAAAAGGGAGAACTTGACCTAGTCAGGGAGATCTAAGTCTTCCTTGAGGAGGCAGAGGTTGAGCCTGAAGGACAGATAGGAGTTAACTAGGCCAAGGAGGAGAGAGAATCCCCCAGCAGAGGGATGCGCACATGCGTAGCCCCCATGGTGGGAGGAGCGTGGTGTGCACATAGCAGGAGCAGGGGGAGCCTGAGGGGCCATGGAGAGAGATGGATCAGGAGAGCTAATGGGGCCAGGGTGGCAGCGACCTTAGGACCATAGTGAAGGTTTTGCTTTTCTTCCACAGGAAGACATGGATAAGTTTTCAGATGGGGGATGTGGGTGAGGACGGAGGAGATGGTTAGGTGGCTACTGACTACAGTTAGCCAGACAAGAGAGGATGGGACGCGAGCCAAGGTAGTGGTGGTAGACTTCAGAGTGATAGATGAGTTTGCGATTTTTTTATAGGAGGTAATGGGGCAGGACCAGGTGACAGATTGGATTCAGGGGGTTAGAAGGAGAGAGACGGCAAAGATGCCTCCCAGGCTTCTGGCCTGTACGCCTGGAGGGGATGGTGTTGCCATCTGCTGAGATGGGAGACACTGGAGGGACCGGGTTTGGGTTTGAGTTTGAAGGACCTCTGAGACAACCAGATCAGGTATCAGACAAGCACTTGGCTATGTGAGGGGCTCCCTGGGATTCTTTCCATCCCCATGTGATGAGGAAATGGAAGCCAGAGAGTTGAAGTGACAGGGTAAGTTACATGGTGGGTACAGACCTGGTATATGCTAAGAAGTGAATGGCCTGTCTTTCCAGAGGCTGAAGCAGAGGATGTGGACAGCCCAGCAAGTTCCCACGAGCCTCTCGCCTGGCTCCCCCAGCAGGGCCGTCAGCTGGACATGACTGAAGAGGAGCCAGATGGGACCCTTAGAAGTCTGGAGGTTGAGGAGGCTGGAGAGAGCTCCCCAAGGTTGGGGTATGAGGCTGGTCTCAGCTTGGAGGGCCATGGAAACACCAGCCCCGTGGCTCTTGGGCATGGTCAGGCCAGGGGCTGGGTGGCTTCTAGCGAACAAGCCAGTGGGGACAAACTTTCTGAACATTCCGAGGTCAACCCATCCGTTGAGCTCAGCCCAGCAAGGTCCTGGAGCAGTGGGACAGTGAGCCTCGACCACCCTAGTGACAGCCTTGATTCTACCTGGGAAGGAGAGACCGGTGGCCCCCAGCCCACTGCCCTGGCAGAAACCTTACCAGAAGGCCCCAGCCATCACCTCCTAAACCCAGATGACAGAACTGGAGGCAGCGTTGCTCTGGCAACCCCCATGGAATTCCAGGACTCCTCAGCTCCCCGAGCCCAGAGTCCGCAGCCTGCCGCGGATAGATGGAGGAGAGAAACGACCAGATTCTCCTGCCCTCAGCCCGAGGAACACATCTGGAAGCAGACAAAGACGTCACCTAAGCCACTCCCTTCCCGATTCATTGGCTCCATCAGCCCCCTGAATCCTCAGCCCAGGTCAACACAGCAGGGCAGGCCGCTGCCCAAACAGGGAGCCACTCTGGCTGGCCGCTCCTCTTCTAATGCCCCCAAGTATGGCCGGGGGCAGTTGAACTACCCACTCCCTGACTTCTCCAAGGTAGGGCCCCGGGTGAGATTCCCCAAAGATGAGAGCTACCGTCCCCCCAAGTCCAGAAGCCACAACAGGAAGCCTCAGGCCCCTGCCAGGCCCCTCATCTTCAAGTCACCAGCTGAGATTGTGCAGGAGGTGCTGTTGAGCAGTGGAGAAGCAGCCTTGGCAAAGGACACGCCTCCTGCCCACCCCATCACCAGGGTACCCCAAGAATTTCAGACCCCTGAGCAAGCCAGTGAACTGGTCCATCAGCTCCAGGTTAGTGGGACTTATGGCTGTGGATGTGTCACCAAGGCCCCTATTGGCTTAGACTGGAGGCTAATTGGGGTGGGGAGGCCTCGAGTAGAGGCTGGCTGGGGTGGAGAGGCCTGGGGTAGAGCCTGGCTGGGGTGGGAAGCCCTGGGATGGAGGCTGGTGGGGTGGGGAGGCCAGGGGGGGAGGCTGGCTGGGGGGGGAAGCCCTGGGATAGAGGCTGGTGGGGTGGGGAGGCCTGGGGTGGAGGCTGGCTTGGGTGGGAAGCCCTGGGGTAGAGGCTGGCTGGGGTGGCGAGGCCTGAGGTGGAGGCTGGCTGGGGTGGGGAGGCCCTGGGGTAGAGGCTGGCTAGGGTAGGGAGGCCTGGGGTCTGGGCTAGGAACTCCATGCTGGTGCAGGAAGGTTATACCTGGAGCCCTGAGATAGACCCAAGCCCTTTGCTCAAAAAGACCAGTGATTGTACTCATGTTTCAAGGATGATCTGTTGAAGTGATCATGTTTCAAGGGAAATAGTCATGTTTCCCCTCCAGACCGCGAGCTCCACGGGCGTGGGGAGTTTTGGCAAGAGCATATCATAGGTGGCCTGTGTGCCTCCTTCAGCAAGCACAGGATGCCTGCTGGTCTCTTGTTTGTGATTTTGACAGCCTCTGATGGTCATTGTCTTGGTCTAGTCTTTCATTTGGGGTGACAAAGTGGTAGTATGCTAATGCTCCCACTCCTACATTAATTGCTGGAAATATGCTAAAAAGTAAAAGTGTCCCTCATCAGCTACTTGGTTACCAAGTTCTTGCTTGTATGGGAAAGGTCAGTGAGATGCTCTGTTCTGTCCTTTTACTGTTACCGTTACTGACCCATAATGGTCCTTAGTTACTTAGTTACTGACCCGTTTTCAGAAGGAGTCAGTTCCTCACAGCCTTCAAAGGTGACATGCTTTTCCTTTTTTCCTGCAAAGACCTGTTTTTATAAAGCTCTTTGGGTTTGTTTAAGGCAGGTGACTGAGTAGGTGGAACAGTGATTTTCAAGCCTTCTATTTTTCTGCCACGGGACTCTTGGATGATTCATTCAATTAGCCATTGAAGAAAGTACTTCTTAAGCACATGCTGCTTAAACACCGACAGCACAGCAGGGGGAAAGACAGATATGGGTCTCACCCCACAGAGCCAACCGATGGGCAGGGCATTTGGATAAATAGAATCGTGGCAGCCATCTGCGATGTGGGTCATGTGTCAAGGTAAACCAGCCAGAGGCCCTCAGTCTAGACTCGTTGTCACGGAGGTAGAAAAGTTGTCCCACTGCCCTCTCATGCTCCAGAACTTGAACGTGGTGGGTCTGTGTTGCACACAAGCCTGAAGATTGCTCAGCTTGGATCCCACCATTGAATGCTTTCCTCTCAGGAACCCAGAAGCCCTTGTGGAGGGGGGTTTGCTATCAGGGTCTCCCAGCAAGGAGGGGTGCATTGTGTGCCTGGGCATATGACCGTGTTGCTCCCCCTTTTCTGCAGGAAGACTACCACAGGCTTCTCACCAAGTACGCTGAGGCCGAGAACACCATCGACCAGCTACGCCTCGGGGCCAAGGTACCAGGCTGGGATGGGGTGGAGGCATGGGCCCAAGTCCCCGAGGAGATGACACTTTTCCATAGCTCTAGAGAAAGGCCACTGCTTCCTCCATCTACTGAGGCCCTGGAGTTAGTGGAACGCCAGTTTGCTTCTACCCCAAGGTCCCTCTGTGACCTTGGGCAGTGACCTTGCCCTCCCTGGGCTTTTTTTTTTTTTTTTTTTTTTTCAGTCAGGGTCTTGCTCTGTCACCCAGGCTGGAGTGCAGTGGCATGGTCGTAACTCACTGCAGTATCAACCTCCTGGGCTCAAGGGATCCTCTTGCTTCAGCCTCCCTGGTAGCTGGGAATACAGGCATGCATCACTGTGCCCTGCTAATTTTTTTTTTTTTTAATGTTTTGTAGAGACGGGGTCTTACTTTGTTGCCCAAGCTGGTCTCGAACTCCTGGGCTCAAGTGATCCTTCTGCTTCAGCCTCCCAAAGTGCTCCTGGGATTATAGGCCTGAGCTACCATGAGCCCAGGAATTTCATGAGACTCTCTCTCCTTCTAGATGGGCTCGGGAGTAAGGCCACCTGGGTTCGACTCCTGGCTCCATTGCTAACCAGCTGTGTGACCTTGAGGAAGTTACTTGGGCTCTGTGAACCTCAAAAGAGTAACACGGAATTTCTGCTCAGCCCCTGGTGCTTGTTCTTTGGGCCTGAATCTGCCTGAATCACACCTTTGCCTTTCTCCCTCCCCACAACCTCACCTGGCAGAGTATGGGGCAGGAGGAGAGCAGAGGGGAAACCCACCACCCCAGCCCCCACCCCGTCTTAGGAGGAGGCTGTGAATTCTCCACCTTCCTCTTTCCTGAGTGAGGCAGGAAGTGGGACCTGTGCGGCCCCTCGTGGCTTCCTGCTTTTGCTGTGCCCTCCTCTTGCCTCATCAGGCAGCAGTGGAGGAGGGGTGAGAGCTGAGGTGCAGAGATGCAGATGCCCCAATGCCTCCCCCAGTCATGCTCCAGGACCCCGCCCCCGCCACAGCTGCTGCTCTCAATGCTGAGAGGCACTTCCGGGGCGGGTGGGAGGAGGCCACTGTGGTGAGGAAACGGAAGGGGGCCTGTTTTAGGACCAGGAGCCCCCCTGCATCCCCACACCTGCTGCCTGGCACAGGCAGGCCCCTTCCCTCTTGGCCTCATCGGGCACATCTGTAAAAGAGGGCTAATCAGACTTCCTCCTGGGAGCCAAGTAGTCTCCTTCCAGCTTTTTGAACCGCTGAGCCAGATCTAGGGTTGGAAGAGACGGGGCAGTCGGGAAAGGGAGTGGAGGGGGTTTGTTAGGTCATCCTCTCTGGGGAAACCGCATTCTCATGGCTGCAGACTCCAAGCAGGTCCGGGGAGAAAGGGACTGGTCATCAGACCCAAACACTTGGCTTCCCCATTTGACAGATTGGGAAACTGGGGCTCCCGTTGGGGTAGGGGCCGCTGATGGTCATGGAGTGGCGGGGACTGAAGGCATGGAGCGTCTCCACCCTCCCACTTCCCTTCCTCCTGCGCTCGTTTAAGGGCATGAGTCAGTATACAGAAAGCATTTACCTGGCACTAGGCAGGCACTTCGTAAGAGTTAGGGAATATTATTATTATAAAGGTGTTTACTGCTAGGCCTCTTGTATGTCAGCCACAGTGACACAGGTGGGGTGGACACAGCGGAGTGCAGCTGGGGTGCCTCCTCTTGTGGGTGCTCCCTTGACCCTGTAGGACTCAGGGTCCCCCCCAAGTGTGGTCACCCTGCCCTGGCTGGCACCCAGACCCCTGGCTCATGTGTGTGAGGGTGTCACAGGAGGACAGGCCGGAAATGATTCTGTGTCAGCTCACTCACTCCCACTTTCTGGAAAGATGATTGCTATTGCTTGGCCTGAGGGCTCTGCTCCCTCCCCCAACCCCTCTCTCAGCCTCACAAAGTATGAGCACCTTTCAGGGCTCTGCCAGAAGGAAGCAGGAAGATACTATCACCTCCCGCCCAACCCCATCTCACAGCTGCCCTGGGGGAGTAGTACAAGGCAGGCTTGCAGCTCCAATGTGCAGAAGAGAACAGAGCCCCAGAGCACGGAGGGGATTCACTCAGGGTCCGTGGGGCTTGAGGAGAGCTGAGATTCCAGCTGGCCAGCCTTCCTCACTCCGTCTGGACCTCTGTGCACTCTACCCCGAAGGCTGGAGAGACCCCAAGACAGCCTTTTGCTCAGAGCCCACGAGTTCAGAGGCAGTTCTCAGACCTCCCAAGGACCCACCGAGCCACTTCACTCTGCTCAGAACCCACGGCGGAGGGCTGGACCCACCTGGGAGGGAGCCGCGCTGGGGATGTTGCACTGGACACCCAGCCTAGGCATGGTGGGTAGGTGGACAGCAGTGGGTGGGGACCCATAGGAAGGAGATTGACATTCACTGAGCAGCAACAGGTATCCCACCCTAGGTTCAGGGTCATCTTTTTTGAGCCCCTCCACACACACACACTGAGGTTCAGTCAGGTGGAATGGTTTGCTCAACATCCCATAGCTGGTGCAAGAGGCAAAGCTGGGACTGAAACCTACATCTGCCTGATTCCAGAACAGATGTTCTTTTCCTCAAGTCTGGGTAAGCCCTGACACCCAGGCCCTGGCACTGGGTGTGGAGAGAGGCATAGGGATGAGGCGGATTGATGACTGTTATGGAAATAAGAATGGTCATAGGTGATGTTTATGGGCCACTGTCCTAAATAATTTGCAGTTGGGGAGGCTGAGGCACAGAGATGTTAAGTAACTTGACCAAGATCACTCAACAAGTAGGTGCCAGAGCAGGAGTTGGAACTCGGCAGCCTGGCTCTGAAGCCCACGAGTGACACCACGCTCTAGCAGAACTAGACTCGGTAGTTGTGGGATCTGCAGCCGGGGAGGCCTGGCCCAGGAACACCGATGGGTCTGGAGCCTTGGAGTTGGGGCAGGACCAGGGAGCCCAGCTGTGAGGCAGGGAGCCAGGACTGGTCAGGAGTCACTGGTTGGCTCTGTTCTCTACACTGGCCTCTGGCCAGGGTTTATGGTGATCTCACTGCATTTGCTGCCATGTTGCCACCTCCCCCCAGCCCCTGTTCCTCCATCTCAGCTGAAGAGAGATCTGGAAGAGCTGAGGTGACCAGAAATTACCCTAGAAGGAATTACGGAGATATATAAAACCACCCTTTTTCAGTGTGTTCTGATGGCCACAAGTTGGCCCAGAACCCCCTGGGTGGGGATGGGGGGAAGGGGAGGTTTCTGTATGCAGATGAGTTGGGGAAACATCTTCCTCTCTCTTCCTCCTCCCCTCCCGCCCTATTCATAAAGCCCATTAGCATTTTAAAGGCTGGGAGAAATCCATCTGTGCAGAGAATATTCATTTGTTTAACCCAATGTTTCCCAAATTCACGGGTCCTCCCGTCACAGAATTCTGATTCACCTTTTACAGAATCCCCCGAGGGAGTGAATCCTGGCTGTGTCCAGGGAGATGGGCCCTGGGAGGGCCAGGCCCGAGCAGCCGAAGCTGCCACCCCCACCGCCACTCCCCATCTCATGGCTCTGCCTGGGCATCTGCTCAGGTTTTGGGCTTCTCTGCTTCAAACTCCTTTTTGGTCCCTGAAACAAAGGGGCCTCCTGGTTTCCCTGGCCCATCCCCATTCCCTGTCACTCCCCAGGTGGGGCCTGAGGCTGAGAAAGGGGTCTGGGGAGGGAAACATGTCAGAGGGCTGGGCCTCCCCTGGGATTTGGGTCACCTCAGGAGGGGGGTGCTGATAGGAAAGCCCCCACAGGGGAGTCTGAGCAGATGGCTGAGGGGATTATTAAAATCCAGCTTTGTTCTCATCTGGGGAGGCTGGGCCTGAAAGAGGGGGAGGCGGGGTGGGGGACCATGCCACACTTGGAGTTGATTTTTCAGCCACAGCCAGAACCTATACAGCTTAAGCAAGAGAGGCTGCTGGCCTGGGGGCCAGGGAGCCCCTTCCACTGGGCCCACCCTAAACTGCTCATTCCTGACCTTGGTGCAGCGGGGGCAGTTAAGATAACCCCCCAACATCATGATGAGCAGGTGCCACTAAGGGGTGTTGCTTTTCCATGGGCCTGTCTCCATGGTGGCTGTGCAGATTATGATGGCGATGACGATCATGGTGATGGTAGTAATGGTGATAGTTATGATGACGATAATGGTAAAAATGGTGATGGTGGTAGTGATGATTGTGATGGTGTTGGTGATAATGGTGATAGTGATGGTGATGGTGAATGATGGTGATGCTAATAATGATGATTGTTATAATGATGCTGATGGTGATGATGGTGGTGGTAATGACAGTGGTGGTGATGACGATGGTGATGGTGGTGTTGGTAGTGGTGATGACGGTGGTGGTGATGATGATGGTGATAAATGTCAGGGTGGTGGCCACTATTTATTGAGCACTTATATCATGTGCAGAAAAGTTATTAAGCCAACTAGGACTCAGAGGTGTGCTGTGGTAGAGCCTGGGCGGGAACCTGGGCTCTGACTGCAGAGCCCACATGCTAAGCTAGAGTTGGCAAACTTTCTCTGTAAAGGGCCAGATTGTGAAAATGTTTAGCTTTGTGGAGCATATAGTCTCTGTCACAACTACTCAACTCTGCCACCAGAGTGTGAAAGCAGCCATAGACAACACATAAACAAACAGGCATGGCTGTGTTCAATCAAACCTTCTTTACACAAACAGAACATAGTCCTCTCAACTCTGCTGTAAGCTGTTGAACAGCCCGTGGCTTCCCTCTGCTTTCGAGCTTCAAGAGGTCTTCCTTGGTCACCTGCCTGACTCCAGACTGCTCCCTCACCAGCTGGGCTGGCTGCCATGTTTTAAATCTGTCCTCAAATGATAGAGATCCGCTACCAATGGCAGATTAGTTTGTTCACTTGCTGGTTCACTCATTTATTCAAACAGCTATTGGTTGCTATTATTATCAACGTAATTATTGGAAATGCTTATATTTGTTAAGAAATAATTATATGGTATATTATGATATAATTATAACATACATTATTAATAAAAAATTACTGTTAATAGTAGAACCATAGGTATTGGGGTCAGATAGAGCAGTGTTGTAATCCTCATCCAAGGACTTATCAGCTGGGGATCTTGAGTAAGTGACTTAATAACCTCTCTGTGTCTCAGTTTTTCCTTCTATATAATGGGCTGTTGGGGTCCCCACCCTGTCTTCCTTTCAGGACCACCATTAAGAGTAAATGAAAGGGCACGTAGTTCTTCACCTATGTTTGGCCCAGCCAAGGGCTGCACTGAAAGATGGTATTTATTACTACAGGGCATGTGTGTTGAGCTCCTGAATGAAGATGAGGTATTTCAGGTGGATTTGCCCCTACCCTGACTTGGCTCTGCTGTGCCTCCCCGCTTCCACAGGTGAACCTGTTCTCTGACCCACCCCAGCCCAGCCACAGCATCCACACAGGAATGGTGCCCCAAGGGACCAAGGTCTTGTCCTTCACCATCCCACAGCCCCGCTCTGCAGAGTGGTGGCCGGGCCCGGCCGAGGACCCCCAGGCCTCTGCGGCCTCAGGTGAGTCCGGGAGAAGAGCCGCAGCTGGAGGCTCCTTCTGTCTGGGATTCTGCTCTGTGGGGCTGACTTGGTTCACCCTGGGGATGGCACTGGCCTCAGGCCAGGGGAAGGAGGGAGGCAAGGCCCCACCCTGGGTACTTTGACGCAAAAGGGTCAGAGATGTGGAAAGTGTCCTGCTTTGATCCACAGCAGCCTGGGGGCAGCCCTGGCCCTGCCACTTGGCATCTTGGTGACCCTGGGTGAGTTGAAGACATAGAGTATTGTCCCTGGGGAGCCCATATCTCAGCCGGGCCCTGCACATGTGACCTCAGTTCATCCCCACAATAACCCGCTGAGGTGTGCACTGTTGTCACACCCATGACAGCCAAGGGGATCAAGGCTTGGAGAGGTGAGGACAGGCTGAGTACATACAGCTGTGGAGGGAAAGCGTCTGGATTGGAACTCACGTCTCCCTGTGTGAGAGGCCACGCTGTTGACTGGGAACCCGGAAGCCTAGCGCAGCTCTGCTGCAGCCAGCCGTGTGACCTGGGGCAGATCTGCACCTTGTCCTCCCCTGTAAATGGGGGACAATGCTTTACCCAGCCCACTTCCTGGGGCTGATGTGAAGATAGCACATGGTGACTGAGCTGTAACTTGATGATGGAGGTGGTGGCTTTGACGTCCAGCCTCAGTCCTTCAGCTCCTGGAAGGACTGTTCTTGGCTCCAGCTTTCAGCAATTGTGTATTCCAGGGTGGCCATCAGCTCGAGGAGACCTGGGCCCCTCCTCGCTCACCAGCATGCCCACCCTGGGGTGGCTTCCAGAGAGCCGGGGCATCTCCGAGGACCAGTCCTCAGCGGAGCAGACCCAGGCACTGGCTTCTCAGGCCAGGCAGTTCCTGGCCAAGGTGAGTGGACTCCCAGATTTGCCCCTGAGAGACTTAACTCACCTGGAGAACACAGAACCTCTGCCTGCTTGGGTGAGAGGCGCTCTGGGAGTCTCACTTGTCATTCCCCTGCCTCTGCACCAAGTTAACTCAGCCATCCCCAAAACATGAGCCCCTCCCTGGTTTTAGAGGCCACACGGCTCCAGCCTCCTCCTTGTCACCAGTGCTAGGTTTCACCTTCCTTTTTGGCAATGCATCTCATCAAAATCCCTCCAGTTGTGCTTCGAAGTGTCTCTAGGCTGGCTCCTGGGAAACTCTGAGCTCTTTCAGGATTCTGGAAGAGTAATAGAATCTCTACTCTACCTTTTCCTCTTCAGGATAAGTTGCCTCATTTTCTTAGTTCATTTTATTAAATAAATCACTTCCCAGTTACTTCTCAAGGGTCTTTGTATCTTCATCCAACAGTCCAAGTAACCGTGAATTGTTTGCAGGTCTGTTTATAACTGTACATTGGCTTTACTCCAGAAGTGGCTTAAAGTACCTTATGAAAATATATACATTTTAGCCACATTCTGAAAACAGAAGCGAGGAAACAGGGGCAGAGAAGAAGTACGGGTAGAAAAAAGTAAAGTATGTGAAGTGAGTAAATAAAATGTTCTGTTGGACCCTAAGCACATTAGAGTCACACATTTAGCTTTGAGCTTCCTAGTTGCCAGTGCCAAAAGAGAAATGCAATAGTTATATGCACCACCCTGCCCATAAAACAAATTCTTTCAGAGAAGCACCACCATTCTATTCTTCCCTTCCCTTCCCTTCCCTCCTCTCCTCTCCCTTCCCCTCCCCTCTTCTCCCTTCCCCTCTCCTCTCCTCTTCTCTCCTCCTCTCCCCTCCTCTTCTCTCCCCTCCCATCTCCCCTTCTCTCCCCTGCTTTATTGAAATATAATTCACATACCATGCAGTTGACTCATTTAAAATGTATGCTTGCTTCAGTGGTTTTTAGTATATTCACAGTTCTGCCACTGTCACCACAGTCAATTTTAGACATTTTCATCAGCCACTAAGAAACCTCATCTGTATTAGGTGGTCACTCCCACTCCCCGTTCCCTCTTCCCCCAGCCTGTGGCAGCTGCTCATCTGCCTCCTGTTTTTATAGGCTCACCTATTGCGGACGTCTCATAGCAATAGATTCATGCAATATTTGTCCTGTGTCTGACATCTGTCACTTACCGTGATGTTTTCAAAGTTAATCCTTGTTGGAGTAGCACATACAAGGACTTCATTTCTTTTTCTTTTTTTTTTTTTTGAGACAGTCTTGCTCTTTCGCCCAGGCTGGAGTGCAGTGGTGCAATCTTGGCTTACCGCAACCTCCACTTCCCGGGTCCAAGCAATTCTTCTGCCTCAAGCCTCCCTAGAAGCTAAGATCACAGGCACCCGCCACCACGCCCGGCTAATTTTTGTATTTTTAGTAGAGACGGGATTTCACCATGTTGGCCAGGCTGGTCTCAAGCTCCTGACCTCAGGTGATCTGCCCGCCTCAGCCTCCCAAAGTGCTGGGATTACAGGCTTCATTTCCTTTTGCCACCACCATTCTTGGTTCCGTAGCCGGAGACACATTTCTTCTTCGTCCTATGCGTTGTCCACAAAATAAAACAATGTCAAATCATCACACTGAGCAGGAGCTGGGGCCTTAGCTGACCCCTCATATCTAGTGCTGCACGATCCAATTCAGAAGCTGCTGGCCACATGTGGCTGTTGAGACATGGGCTGCTCTGAATTGAGACATGCTGTGGTATGTATAAAACACATACTGGATTTCAGAGACTTAGAAATACAAAGTATCTCCCTATTTTTTTAGTATTGGTTACATGTTGAAATGATATTTGGGGCTAAATAAAATATAAAAATTAATTTTACCTGTTTCTTTTTACATTCTCAATGTGGCTATGAGAAAATTTCAAATGTGTAGCTCACACTATATTTCTATTTTATATATTATAAAATTATACAATATATGATTACATGATATACATTTCTATATTAGATTTCACACTGATCTAGAACTTTCTTAAAACTGAATATATTTTTTTTTGCCTTTTTTTGTAATGAAACTTTTTTTGAGCAGGTAACAGACACCCATGATAAGGACCTTTGCACAGTACAGAGGGCATATTGAGCAAAAAATAAATATTTTCTCCAACCCATGCAAAAATGTTCCGTGCACACACTTGCATTTATAGAAATGGTTGCATAAGCTACTGTACCTTGACTTTTTGAAGTCCTAAATTTGAATATTTATTTTTGGGTAGGCAACGAATTCACATTGTTCAAATTTCAAAGGATGCAAAGGACGTGTAGTAGAAAAATCTACTTCTCATTCCTGTCTTCCAGCCACCCAGTTCTCCTTCCCAGAAGCAATTTATATTTTAGTTTCTTGAATTCCTCTAGAGATAGTATATCATATATAAGCAATGTATTTATCGTTTTCCTTTTTATTCTTCACATATTTTATACAGATGGTAGCATACTATAAACATTGCCCTGTACCTTGATTTGACACTGAAAAATAGGTCTCGGAGGTATTAATAGCTCAGAACATACACATGTACCTTCCTCTTATTGATGGCTGCATACTATTCCACCGACAGGCATTTAAGCTATTTCTTGTCCCCTCCCTACTGTTCATGCTGCAGTAAATATCCTGCATTAGTCTTGATTCACACGAGTGACTTGCTTTGTTGTCAGTAAATTCCTGCAGGTTCCACTTTGATTTTTTCTCAAGGCTGCTATGCCTGGGGCTGGTGGTAGAAGCTGTTCCCAGCACCCACCTCTCCATGCTTGGCAGAAACCCCACATCCTGAGGACGGACCCAGCTCCTCTTACCAAAGCCTGGATGTGGCTGGGTGTGGGAGTCTGCAGGACTGGATTAATGGAGCATATTTCCTTCCCCTCCCAATGTCCAGGTGGAGTCCTTTGAAAGACTGATACAGGCAGGACGTCTCATGCCCCAGGACCAACTCAAGGTACTGCCCAATTCAGGAGCCACCCGTGGAACTGCCAGACAACCACTGTCTCCCATGGCTCTGTCTCTGAAGCCTCCTTTGCTGCAAGACAGAAAAGAGAATCCCAGACACAGTGTCTCTTTCAGAGCAAACAGCTCTTGAGTAGCTTCCCATGATAACGATCATTATATCACAATAGTTACTGCTTATTAAGCAAGGATGGTTGTGTGCCAGGGACTGTGGTAAACCCTAGAGTATGTTATTTTATTTTATCATGATCAAAACCCAGTGAAGCAGTTACAGTTATCACCGTCATTTAACCAGGATGGAACTGAAGCTCAGAGGGGTTACTCAAAGACCACACAGCTAGTAGGTAGCAGAGCCTGGAGCCAGGTCTGTCTCCCTTTCAAATCCAGGGTCATAATCACTGCCCTGCACTACTTTCCACAAATTACCCTGCCTCTCAGCAAGCAGAAAAAGGCCTTTTCTTTTAAAAAAAATTTAAAAAAAAATTACAAAATGGTTGCCAAACGTTTGGAAACTAGGTTAAAAAAAAAGTGGGGGCTGGGGGAGAGACCCTTTATAGATTCCTTATTGGTGTATTTCCTTTGGAATTTGGAGTTTTAGATAACTGCAGTCATAAATACAATTTAGATTCTTGCTGCATCAGCCAGGGTCCCAGTAAGGAACAGGTGGAGCTCTCAAGTCTGGGAGTGTAGGCATCAGAGGAAAGAACTGTCAGCAAAGGTGTGGACAGCATCAGGGGACCCAGCAAAGACTGGGGAATCCCCAGGTAGTAGCATTAGCCGGGAGCTGTACCCACTCTCAAGTCTCTCTCTTCCCACCCTGTGATCTCTGATAGGTCCCTCCCACTAGACAGACCCAACCAGAAGCCAGCAGGTAGACAGCCCTGATGCTCAAAGCACAGAGCAGGGTGGGAGAGGAGCTGAGAGAAGGTCTGGAGAGGCAAATGCAACACACCTAGTTTCTAAAAAAATGTTATGGTGGGAGTATTTTCCTGTGTGGTTACATAGATGTCACGTACACTTTCCAATCACAAAATACGTGATGTGTATCATGTAATATCATGCAGTGGATGACCAAGGACCTTGTAAACTAAAACCATTCATTTTTTTGCTCTCTGTTCTAATTCCCCCATACGCAGGGAAGTTGAGAGCTGTCGGAAGGTTAGATGTGACCAGGGAATGGGTTCTAGGTTGTCCTTGGCCTCAGTCTGTCCTCAGAGTTGAGTGGGATGCAGAAGGTAGTAAGACAGTGATACCAACCCCAGTTGCCACAGCTTTAGCCATGTATTGCCCGTGATTATGTTTACTATGGGAGCCTAACAGAATTGCTAGGACCATGGGCTCTGGGGCCAGAGGGCCTGGGCCCACATCCTGTCTCTACAACTCACTCACTCCATGACCTTCACCAACTTAAATGACATCCCTGTGCCTCAGTTTCATCCTTTTTAAATGAAGATGATAAATCACCCCTCATTATGATTATATTGAAGATTAAATAAATGCAAAGTGCTTTAGCCCAGAGTCTCAATGCTCAGTAAATATTCTCAATAATGTAATGGTGATGATAACGTTATCTGTGTTGATAGCCTATAAGGATTTGGGAAAAGAGTGGCTAATTTTCTGAAACCCACAGTTTTGCAAATCAAGAATGAGGATCCAGAGTCTCTCAAGTAGAGGGTCCTTATGGAGATACGGTGAGAGTATATTTGACACTGTGACAGCTATGACAGTTTGTGATACATTGGGGTCCTTGTAAGTCTATGCAGGAAGGGCTGGTGCCCTCTGAAGCTGGTGCCAAGGCTCTAAGTTGTGTCTCTGTTGTGCCAGCCTGATGGCAGAGAGTTGGACCACGGCCGCTCTCCGGGGCAGGCAGCCTCCAGAGATCTCAACCTCAGCCTGTATCTTGCATGAACCCAAGGGCCCAGGTGCATCCCATGGCCTCCCGCAAACTGTCTCATCCACTGTGTCTGCAGGGACAGGCCCCACAGGGGCTGAGCATTGAAGTCTTCCTGGCCTGGTCTGGTTTCAGGGCTTCCAGCGGCTGAAGGCTGCCCACGCGGCCCTAGAGGAGGAGTACCTGAAGGCCTGCCGGGAGCAACACCCTGCCCAGCCGCTTGCTGGCTCCAAGGGGACACCTGGAAGATTTGATCCTGGCAGGTACCTGCTGGGGTGGAAGGCCTGGAAGGACAGATGGGATGGGCCCCTGGGGTCCCTCAGTCTCCAGGAGGAAGGCACTTTGTCCTTATAATTTGTACACAAGAGAATAGAGAGAAATCTTATCCTAATTAATATACACATCCAAATGGTGGCACGATGAAAAGCTGAGATTTGAGTCCCTTTGAACCCACTTACTGAGAAGATGCCTTGAAACACTTATTGGTTAATGAGGAAACTGAGGCTAGATGGGTGTGGGATTTCTGTAAGGTCCCACAGCCTGTGGAAGGCAGAGGGAACTTGGGCTGAGGCCTCCTGATTCCCAGTGGAACCTTCTTTCATCTTGCTTATTTTGAGTTCTCACCATCATCTAAAGGCTGATATTAAATGGACCCTAAGGGGGCATCCCCTGGAGTCTCTGCTCTGACACTCTGCTCCTGGACCTGCCTGATGTGGCTACCATCTTGGGCTCCTGGTGCTGATGTTTCTGCATTCCAGGGAGCTGGAGGCAGAGATATACCGTCTGGGAAGTTGCCTGGAAGAGCTGAAGGAACACATAGACCAGACCCAGCAAGAGCCTGAGCCGCCCGGGTCAGACTCAGCTCTGGACAGTACCCCAGCCCTGCCCTGCCTCCACCAGCCAACGCACCTGCCTGCTCCTTCCAGACAAGCCCCCATGCCAGCCATCAAGACCTCCTGCCCTGAGGTACCTCTTGGCTCAACCATATTGGGCTGTTCCCTTGTGCATTCATTTCTTCATTAATTCATTTCTTCAGTACATATTTCATATTTATGAAGTGTGTGCCATATGCCAGGACCCATGACACATGGTAGGGATTCAGTGGGATGGGAGGTGGCAGGGAAGGTGACCTCTATCTTCACAGAGTTTTCTGTAGAGTTGAACTGGTTACAGTGATTTAATTGTAATTTTGATCAGTGCACTGAAGGAGAATTATGGGGTTCTGTGAGAGTAGGAGGAGTAACATGACTGAGTTTGAGGAGGACGTCAGAGAAACTTTCCCTGAAGAGGTCATGTTTAAATGAGACCTGAGGCTAAGTAGGAATTACTAGAGACAAAGAGAAAACCTATCCAGTGGGGGAAACAGCCTGTACAAAGGCCCTGTGGCTGGAGTATGGGAAGAGAAGGGAAAAACAGTCTGAGATGTGGCTGGAGAGGCAGGCAGGAGCCCCATGACATAGGGGCTTGTGGGTCACATAGAGAGCATGGCCTTCAACTCTGCTGGATTTTGTGGCAGGGGATGACATAAGATGACTTGTGGGTAGGCCAGTCTGAGGATGGGGAGGTGGCAGGGCAAATGGGGAAGCATGTGTGGACTTGAGAGAGGTTGGGAAGGTATGTTTGAGTGGACTTGGAGTGGCCGTGAGAGGGAAGGAAGACACGGATGGCTCCAGGTTTCTAGCCTGTAGTACTGCACGGGTGATGGGGTGAAGCCTAGACAAGAGCCCTACATGAAAGGGGCTTTGTAGAAGGCTCTCTGGCCCACACTATGACCCCTTGAGAGGCAATCACTGTCTCCGTTTTGCAGATGAGCAAATTGAGTATAGTGCATTCACACAGATGACAGTGGTGGGGTCTCTATGCCTCCCAACTCCTGTTGCCTGTGCTGCAAAGACTTGTCTGTTGAGGACGGGAGCAGGAAAGAGGGCCTGGCATGCTGGGTAGGGTGGGACGCTGGTAGGACATCCCTGACAACTGAAGTCATGCTGGCCCCATGGTTTGGGGAAAATCTTATGCTGTGCTCTGGCCTAGAGGGTAGGTGCCACTACATACAAGAATGGGGAGAAAACCTGAGTACATTATCTTGAAGGACCCTTGCGTTCCTGCAGTGAAGGTATTGCAGGGGGCTGGGGTGGCCCTACTGGCATGAATGGGGGTCAGAAGAGTTAACTCTGGCAGGAAATCTAGATTCAAATCTCAACTCTGCTTCTGGTTTCTGTTGACTTTGGGCAAATCATTTGAGCTTTAGCTACCTGTCTGTAAAATGGTTTGTAATAATCTCAGGTACTGGTTGGATTGTTGTGACCTGATATCTGTGTGGTGCCTGGCACACAGTAGGTGCTCTATTCATGGCAGCCAGTATCAAAGACCACACAGCCCAGTCTCTGTAGTTTACACATGCATAAAAGGGTGGTGGGCTTAGTGAGTCTAATGTGCTTCTTACCCCTCAGCCCCCAGCACGAGCCTGGCAGGAGGCAGGTGCTTAAAAGTGGTATTTAAGTATCTGCTGAATCTCTGTCCTTTCATCTTTCTGACCCCAGCCTGCTACCACCACTGCCGCCACCAGCGCTGGCCCCCGCCCATTGCACATAAATGTGGAGGTGAGCTCTGGCAACAGTGAGGTGGAGGACAGGCCACAGGACCCCCTGGCCCGACTCAGGCACAAGGAGCTGCAGATGGAACAAGTGTACCATGGCCTCATGGAGCGGTGAGTGCCACCTGGACCTGACCGGGGTGTCTGGCTAGCAGCTGGATCTTGGCTGTCCCCCACTGGGCAGAGATCATGCCCCTCTGTGTGTTCTCTTGCAGGTACCTCAGTGTGAAATCTCTCCCGGAAGCCATGAGAATGGAGGAGGAGAAAGAAGGAGAGGAGGAGGAGGAGGAGAGGGGAGGTGACTCCCTAGAAGTTGATGGGGTGGCCGCAGCTCCAGGGAAAGCAGAGGCCACCAGGGTCCTCCCAAAGCAGCACCTGGTGCAGGCTGAGAAAAGTCATGAGGCTCCCCTGGAGTAAGTCACTGAGCCTTTCCTGCAGAATGTTTGGTTCCACCCTAAAACCACAGGGGTGATCACTGTCAGAGTGAATAAGACAGCACTTCACAGTTTAGACATGGCTTGCCTGTCCTGCCTCTTCAAGTGTGCAATGTATACCACTGATAGCCCTTGAAATGATTTTGGGTAGTGTGGGACATGATTTTCAGTAGGACACATGCAGCATTAAAGAATATTATTCTTAGCTGGGCACAGTGGTTCATGCCTTTAATCCCAGCATTGAGGGAGGCCAAGGCAGGTGGATCACTTGAGCCCAGGAGTTCAAGACTAGCCTGAGCAAAATGGCAAAGCCCCATCTCTACAAAAAATACAAAAATTAGCCAGGCATGTCGGTACACACCTATATCCCTAGCTGTTTGGGAGGCTGAAGCAGGTGGATCTCTTGAGCCCAGGAGGCGGAGATTGCAGTGAGCTGAGATCGGGCCACTACACTCCAGCCTGGGTGACAGTGCAAGATCCTGTCTCAAAAAAAAAACAAGAAAAAAGAATATCATTCTCTTTTTCTCTCTGACCTTCTAATGATGCCAAAGAGAAAGTCTCAGTTAGTGCTGTGGTGTCTTTAATGCCTCTCTTGAACTTCTGTGGAAAAAGAGAGAGAGAGAGAGAGAGCGTGAGAGCGCGTAAGCAGGCCTCAGGCCTAGAGCCTTTGGCAGGCAAATGGATCTATCTAGTATATGATAACATTCAGGTTTCTTGTATTTATCCTCAAAGTTAGTTTCTGTTTGTCACATCTTCTGTTTTGAATAGTGATCTAAAATCTTGGGAGTAGATGGAAGTTTATGGAAATGCCTCAAATAGGGAGGGTGGTATGCGAACTCCTTAAGTCTGGGAATTGCTGCTTTAGCATTTCCTCTTTGGTGTGTTGGGTGGGTTTTGTTGGCATCCACATTTTCCAGTTGAAAAGTGAGGTTGAGAGAGGGGAAGTACCTTGCCCTAGGTCGTACAGCTAGAAAGTGGCAGAACCAGGCTGGACAGCCAGGGATGTCTGACTCCAGAGCCTGTGCCCTGGGCTGCTTGGCTCCCAGGACAGGCCAACCCCTGTGTCAGGGCTGCCCGGCAGAGCTCAAGGATGGTCTTCTCTTCCCATGCCAGGGAGGCCACGGAGCAGATGCTATCTGTGAAGCCACCAGGTTTCCAGACATCCCTGGCTAGAGACGGGCACATGTCAGGCCTGGGGAAGGCTGAGGCAGCCCCTCCAGGCCCTGGCATGCCACCCCACCCTCCAGGCACCAAGTCCGCAGCGTCCCACCAAAGTAGTATGACCAGCCTGGAGGGAAGCGGGATCTCTGAGCGCCTTCCACAGAAGCCTTTGCACCAAGGTTGTGGGCCCCACCTGGAGGTAAGTCTCCGCATGGGGGAATGGGCCCAGAACCTCAGGGTCATTGCTGGGTCTTCTCAACTTTCTGCTTCTGGATCTTTCCTTATGCTATTCCTTCTTGGAATACCTGCTGCTCCTGTCCCTGCCAGCCAAAATCCCACCTGACATGCAGGACTTATGCCCAGTGTCACCCCCCAAACCTGTCCCTCTTCCAGAGCTCTTGTTCCTCCTCTGAGAGCTTGGAACCCATTGCTTATACTTCTCTGAGCCTGCCCATCACAGCTGGAGAGTCTAGTTCTATGCCCTTTAGAGCAGACATCACTGCTGCAAGGTCACAGACCACTGTGGAAGTGTGACTGTCAGAGAATAATGCATATATATGCATGCCTGTGCACTTGCGTGCAAACACACACACACACACACACACACACACGCTTCTCTAGTCCTAATGAGCCCATGGTCAGGATTCTCTGCACTAGACATGAACTCAGCGAGGGCAGGCACCTGTGTTGCTCTGTGTTCTTTGTGCCATGTGTTAAACCCAGTGGGTAGGACCTGTATGTACATATTTGATGATTTCGTTTTTCCAATGCCTTGGGCCTGAGCATTTTTACTCAGATAAGACCGTAGTATTCCAGGCCTGAGCCAGGAGACACTGGAAATATGACTTTCTCCCTCTCCCCTTGCCAGTCCTTGTCCACGGCCGTGTCTCTCCCAAGGGCTCTGGCTGCCACTCCTCAGGGAGGCAGGACTTGCTCAGGGTCCTCCTGGGGTGCAGAGTCCCTGCTGGTAGCCAGATTCTTGTGCTGAGGCCTGAGGGCCTGAGAGCCCTCACTCCTGGGCCTGGCTGTTGGGAGCCAGGCCAGCATCCCTGGGGTGTGAGCCTCTGGGAGGTGAGGCCCAGGCTAGGATTTGGGAAGGGCTTCCCAGTGTGCCTTGGTCACATTCCTCAGACATAAAGGGATACTGCCTCTTTCAGGAGCCCTGGATGGCATCCCCGGAGACAGACAGTGGCTTTGTTGGCTCAGAAACAAGCAGAGTTTCACCCCTCACCCAGACTCCAGAGCACCGGCTCTCCCACATCAGGTATCCTGAGATCCCACCATTGTCCTGTCAGTGCCACATTCCTGGGACAGCCTGGGAATTGCAGTGCCTGTGATGGCCCAGAATAAGAAAGGATGGTCTGTCCATTCATAGGGACTCATTTCATCCCCAATTTCTTGTTCCTATGTTATTGACAGAGGAAACAGAGCTTCAGAGAGGGGAGTGACTAGTCCATCCTCACACAACTAATTAGCGACAGACTGGGAAATTCATTTTTGTTGAACAAATGAATGGGTGAATGAATAAAAACTACAGGGAGGGCACTGTGAGGTGAACAGAAGACAAGGACAAAGGGCACTCAGGGTGGCTACATGGAACCCAAAGGGAAGGGAGAAGGTGGAGGAGACAGGGTTGAAGGTTGGAGGGATGGAGCCTCCAAAGCTGGGTGCGGGCCCTTCAGGAGGCCCACATGGCAACCCAAGGATGCATGCAAAGGAAGGATTAGAAATCCTATTTCTCTTTATGTATTCTGCATAGAAATTGAGATTTATTATTTTGCATATTGGGTTGGCCAGTGTACAGTTTATAAAGAAGTGAACATCCAATGTGTGTGTGTCCTTGGAAATATTGTACCACCCGAGATGCAAAGTCGCAGAGGGTGGGAGCTTATTGGGTTAGCGTGTGGAGAGCCTCAGATGCCGCCGCCTGAGTGTCTCACTCTGTGTGACCTCCGTGTGTCCCTTCCTCCACGGTCCCCCAGCACAGCAGGAACATTAGCCCAGCCCTTCGCTGCATCTGTGCCCAGGGAGGGAGCTTCCTACCCCAAGGCCAGGGGTTCTCTGATCCCCAGAAGAGCCACAGAGCCCAGCACACCCCGGAGCCGAGCACAGAGGCACCTCTCCAGCCCAAGTGGGCCTCTCCGGCAGAGGGCACCCAACTTCAGCCTGGAGCGGACATTGGCAGCCGAGATGGGTGAGTGCAGGAGTCTGGCTTGGACAGAACTGCATGGATTGAAAAATCAAATAGAAAAACTTGCAGAACCCTTTAGGATATGACATATTAGCCAGGTTCATTGTACTGAAATTTGAAATTACAGATAAGGTGGACAAAAGGGAACAACAAAAAAAATACTCTGCAAACCATCAGCGCTGATGTTTTGGTGTAGAACCTGTGAGCTGTTCTCTGTGCCGATGTAAATGTGTGTTATTTACACGTTTTGTTCAGTGACAGACAGCATGCATGGCAGTGGTCCCATAAGATTTCCATGGAGCTGAAAAATTCCTTTGGTAGTGATGTTGCAGTCATTGCAGGGCAACACTTCACACACGTTTGTGGCGATGCTGGTGGAAACAAACCTACTGCGCTGCTGGTAATATCAAAGTACAGTACCGGCAGGGCGCGGCGGCTCCTGCCTGTAATCCCAGCACTTTGGGAGGCCGAGGCGGGCGGATCACCTGAGGTCCGGAGTTCGAGACCAGCCTGGCCAACATGGTGAAACCCCATCTCTACTAAAAATACAAAAAGTTAGCCAGGCGTGGTGGTGGATGCCTGTAATCCCAGCAACTCGGGAGGCTGAGGCAGGAGAATTGCTTGAACCCAGGAGGTGGAGGTTGCACTGAGCTGAGATCAAACCATTGCACTCCAGCCTGGGCAACAGAGTGAGACTCTGTCTCAAAAAAAAAGTACAGTACAGGCCGGGCATGGTGGCTCATGCCTTAATCTCAGCACTTGGGGAGGCCAAGGTGGGAGGATCACTTAAGGCCAGGGTCACCTGTGGCCAACATGATGAAACCCTGTCTCTATTAAAAATACAAAAATTAGCCGAGTGTGGTGGCTTAACACCTGTAATCCCAGCTACTCAGGAGGCTGAGGCATGGGAATCTCTTGAACCTGGGAGGCCAAGGCAGAGGTTTCAGTGAGCCGAGATCGCACCACCACAGCACACCAGCCTGGGTGACAGAGCAAGACTCTGCCTTAAAAAAAAAAAAAAAAAAAGTACAGTACAAAACCTACCATTATGTACAGTACATAATACTTGATAACTAATGACTCTGTTATTGGATTATGTATTTACTATACTTTTTATCATTATTTTAGAGTGTATTTCTTCTACTTATTTTAAAGATGTTAACTATTAAACAGCCTCAGGTAGTCCTTTGGGAGGTATTCCAGAAGAAGGCATTGTTATCACACATGACAGTGCTATTATTGCCCCTGAAGAACAAGACGTGGAGGTAGAAGACAGGGATATTGATGACCGTGCCCCTGTGTAGGCCTAGGCTAGTATGTGTGTGTGTGTGTGTATGTGTGTGTCTTAGTTTCTAACAGAAAAGTTTTTTTAAAAAAAGTTAAAAATAGAAAAAAGCTTATAAGGATATCAAGAAAATATTTTTGTAGTTTACAATGTATTTTTAAGTTAAATGTTATTACAAAATAGTCAAAAGGTTAAAAACCATTCAAAAACTTATAAGGTAAAAATGTTACTGTAAGTTAAACTTGATTAATTATTGAAGAAAAACATTTTTATAAATGTAAGCTTAGCCTAAGAATATGGTGTTTGTAAAATCTACAGCAGTGTACAGTAATGCCCTAGGCCTTCACATTCACTCCCCACTCACTCACTCACTCACCCAGAACAACTTCCAGTCCTGTGAGCTCCATTCACGGTAAGAACCCTTTACAGATGTACCATTTAAAAAATCTTTTGTACCATATTTTTATGGTCTCTTTTCTATGTTTAGATACACGATACCATTGCGTTACAGTTACCTACAATATTCAGCAGGCAATGTTGTAGAGGTTTGTAGTCTGGAAGTAATGGGCTATTCTGTCTGCCCCACATATGTAGTAGGTATGGGTAATCTATGATGTTTGTGACATGGCGAAACGGACTAGAAATGTGTTTCTCTGAACTTATACCCAACATTAAGTGATGCGTGACTATACTTAAATCAGAAACGAGGCCAGGCACGGTGGCTCATGCCTGTAATCCTAACACTTTGGGAGGCTGAGGCGGGTGAATCACCTGAGGTCAGGAGTTTGAGACCAGCCTGGCCAACATGGCAAAACCCCATCTCCACTAAAACAAAAATTAGCCAGGCGTGGTGGCGGGCACCTATAATCCCAGCTACTCAGGAGGCTGAGGCAGGACAATGGCTTGAACCCAGGGGTGAAGGTTGCAGTGAGCTGAGATTGTGCCACTTCACTTCAGCCTGAGCGGAAGAGTGAAACTCTGTCTCAAAAAACACACAAAAAAACAAAAAATGAGATAATTTTATATGTGAATATTTGGCAACCTCCTTTTTTCACTAAATTGTGTTATGAACACTTTCCATGTCTATAAAATCTATATGTGATTCAGTTTTTGACTTTTAGAAATACACATGAATTATTTACTGAAATTAAAAAACACCGAAAAGAACTTAAATTGATGAGGTTTTACAAGGTGAACAGAGACCAAGAAACTCAACATGATCTGAACCCCAGAATCCCACTGAAGCCCCCTTCAGTCACTACCTGCTCCCCAAACATAACCACTGTTCTGACTTCTGACACCTCAGTTTAGCTTTACCTAAAAGGTTCATCTTTTTTTTTTTTTTTTTTTTTTTGAGACAGAGTCTCACTCTGTTGTCCAGGCTAGAGTGCAGTGGTGCAATCTCTGCTCACTGCAACGTCCACCTCCTGGGTTCAAGAGATTCTCCTGCCTCAGCGTCCTGAGAAGCTGGGATTACAGGTGTGCACCACCACGCCTGGCTAATTTTTGTATTTTTAGTGGAGATGCGGTTTCACCGTGTTAGGCTGGTCTTGAACTCCTGACTTTGTGATCTGCCCGCCTCGGCCTCCCAAAGTGTTGGGATTACAGGCATGAGCAACCACGCCCAGCTGGTTCATTATTTTAAAAACATTTTTAATTAAACTTTTTTTTTTTTTTGAGACGGAGTCTTACTATGTTCCCCAGGCGGGTATGTAGTGGTGCAATCTCAGCTCATTGCAACCTCCTCCTCTCAGATTCAAGTGATTCTCCAGCCTCAGCCTCCTGAGTAGCTGGGACTACAGTGACACCACGTCCAGCTAATTTTTGTATTTTTAGTAGAGACAGGGTTTCACCATGTTGGCCAGGCTGGTCTCGAACTCCTGACCTCAAGTGATCCGCCCACCTCAGCCTCCCAAAGTGCTAGAATTATAGGTGTGAACCACCACGCCCGGCCTTTAATTAAACTTTTTATTTGGAGATAATTGCAGATTCACATGCAGTTATAAGAAATAATACACAGAGATCCCATGTGCCTTTACTCAGTTTCCCCCAGTGATAATATCTTGCAAAGTACAGTGTCACAGCCAGATTTTGACACTGATGCAATCAAGATACAGAACGTTCCATCACCACAAGGAGCCTCATGCTGCCCTTTCATAGGCATACTCACTTCCCTCCTGCCCCCAGCCTGTCCTTAACCCCTGGTAAGCACTAATCTGTTCTCCATTTCTATAATTTTATCATTTCAAGAATATTCTATAAATAGAATCATATACTATGTAACCTTTTGGGATTGGCTTTTTACTCGGCATAATTCTCTGGAGATTTATCTAGATTATTTTGTGTATTAATATTTAGCTCCTTTATATATTGCTGAGTAGTATTCCAAGGGTTTCAATGCTTTTATTTATTTATTTATTTATTTATTGTTTTTGAGACAGGGTCTTGCTCTGTCACCCAGGCTGCAGTGCAGTGGCCCCATCATGGCTCGCTGCAGCCTTGACCTCCCCGGCTCAAGTGATCCTCCTGCTTCAGCTTCCCAAGTAGCTGGGTCCAAGGGGATGTACCTCCACATCCAGCTAATTTTTTTATATATATAATTTTTTTTGCAAAGATGGGGTCTTTCTGTATTACCTAGGCTAGACTCGAACTTCTGGGCTCAAGCAATCCTCCCATCTCAGCCTCCTAGAGTGCTGGGATTACAGGCATGAGCCACCGTGTCTGGCCATTCATTGCTTTTAATGCAGGGGCTGGATTAGTGGTTTTTAACCTTTGGCCACCCATCCCTTCGGGAGATTCATTAAAAGTTATTAATGCTCTCCCCAGAAACATGCATACATGGAAAGAGGTGACTGTAATTTCAGAGGAGGCTCTGAAGCCAGCCCCACAACAACACGGTGAGAAGGTGATCAAGTCTTGGGCGAACCAAGTGAAGAAGCGGTTAATTCTTTGCAGAGGAAGTTCCTGAAGACTTGGATGGTGTCATGGTGGGTGGGAGGAGGGGTTCTGGTTAGAAACAGCGGGGCAGGCCTAGCTCAGCACCCCACACTCCCAGCAAAATCTAGATCTGGTTTGGAGGTCAGTGTGGGTCACTGGCCTCATCAGGAGCTTCCTTTGTGACCTTGAACTGGGCACCGTCTCTTTGCTTCCATCATTCCACCTGCACAGGTGTGAGCTTGGAAGTTCTCTCTGCTTAAACTCACTTTGGGTTCTCTCTCTGCCTCCCTAGCGGTTCCTGGCTCAGAGTTTGAGGGGCACAAACGGATTTCTGAACAGCTCCTTCCCAGCAAGACAATCAGCCCACCCCCAACCCCCGCCACTGCCACTGCCCCTCTGCCCCGTGGACCAACAGAGACCATCCCCAACTTCCTGCTCACCAGGGCAGGGCGAGAGTAAGTTAGACACTTGGATCCTGGGAATTCAAGCTCGTCATACAGATGGGAGCCTGATGCGATGTGTTAGGGGGTGGAGGTGGAGACCTGCCCAGCTCACACAGGTAGTGGTGGTGGGACCAGGCTCCCAGCTCCCAGCGTTTCTGTGGGACCTCATTGATCCAGACATCGAGGACACTTCTCCAGCCAGTGGAAAATGACCTAAAGATTCACCTTTCTGGTGCTGCAACTTCTCCCTTCTCTCCCCATCATCTCCCTTCCAAGACAAGCCTGTCCTTTCCAGGGGTATCTTTTCTGCAATTTGCCCATTGATTGTATGGACCAAGAAGCTACTGCCTTCTGAGTTTTTCTTTTCTTTTTTTTTTTTTTTTTTGGTTCGTGTGCATTTTTCTACTAAGAAAGTTCCACTTCCTTGGCTGAACAGAAATGGTAAAATCGCTTGGTCAGTTCTCTCACATCTCCCCTTAGTTGCTTTTGGCCAATGATCCCTCACATGCCCTTGCTGGAGGGGGTGTCTGTCCCGGGATGCGCTGGGGAGACTGCTCGGCGGTGGCCCAGCCAAGTCTTCTTTGGCTCGAACAGTCATGAGGCTGTCATGTTGCCTACATGCAAAGTTGTATCCAGCTGCTGGCGTTTGGCTTCCTTGTCTGAGTTTAGTAAGTCTGCCCCTGCAGACTCCCCTGACATCAGTGGAGGAATTAGAGGCTTGTTTCTGTAGGGTATGCCAGGACTTGGGAATACAATAGTGGACTAGACTCTATCATAGGCCTCGTAAGGCTTACCATCTTGTAAGATGAACATACAAAGAAACAGGCAGTGGTGCCCCCCCATTGTGATAAGTATGGTGATGGCAGAGGACTAAAGGACTGTGGGAGCATAGGGAAGGAGCATCTAGTCCAGTTAGAAGCTTCAGAGAGGGCTTCCGGGAGGAAGTGGTATCTCAGCAGACATCAGAAGGAAGAGAGAGAGAAGAGTCTCTTCAGCGGAGGGAATGGCATGTGCAAAGGCCTAGAGGTGAGAGAGTGCCCATCACCTTGGAGTTGCTAAACAGTCGGCCAGATCCTCTAGCGTGAGGGGGTGGGGTGTTGAGCAGTAAAGGAAGAGAGGGGTAGATAGGAGAGACCTATGGGAGATCCTACAGGGCCTGAAGGCCGTGGATAAGGGGAGACGTTCACTGCATGTTCCGTGAGTGCACAAAGGCTGAGAGGACAGGGAAGGGGATTTCAAGCAGGGACGTAGCCTAGGCAGGTTTATGTTTTAGGGTTCTCTGGCCACCAGCAGGGTGAGAACAGAGGCCAAGAGACTGCTGAGAAGGCTGCCTCATCCAGGAGGAGATGATGGGGCCTGGGTTCTCGGGGAGGGCCCCTACAGAGGGGAAGAAGGGATTCCTTTGGAAAGAGGTATTTTGGAAGTTGGGCCCATGAGACTTGGTAACTGAGTAACTTCAGGGGTGTTCAGGGAAGGAGAGGGTCTGGAGTGACTCAGATTTCTGTCTGGCCAGTCAGGTGGATGCTGATGCCATGTGCAGAGACAGGGGAGTAACTTTGCAGAGAAAGATGAATGTTAAGTGCCAGTAAGAAACTAAAGCGTTACATCAGGGAGACTGAGATACCCAAGTGGTTGACTCACGCCCCTGGCCTTGTAAGTATTTAGTGCCTTCTGACTGGGAGCCAGAGCTCTCCCTTTCAGGAGTTAACTGGGGGAGGGGAGATGTCACTCTCCAGTAGCCACCGCCCACCCTTGCCCTCATGGCTTTGCCTCAGAAACACCAGCAAGCGTCTCCCTGGGGATTACCAAGGGAACCCGCTGCCCTCAGACACACACACTCAGCGCTGGGGCACAGCCAGGAAGAGGCCTCCACTGCTTCTGACACACTCGTCTAAGCGCTCATGTCTGCTGGAGGCGGCACCAGGAGACACTCACCCACAAGTCTAGGGGCCACCAGGCAAGAATGGCCCCGATGGGAATTCCCACCCCGGAAGCCAGACCAAGGAATAGATGTTGAGGCTGCATCAGCCTGGAGGGTGGCCTTGCTGAGCCCAGGCTCTAACGCTGCTCTGTGGTTGAGGGGGTCTTGTGGGGAGGGGTGTCTGGGTGGAATTGTCTGCTGCAGTGCCAGCAATGCCCACAAAACGAGACCCTGGAGATGCAGGGACTGATTGCAGAGAAACGCAAACAGGATTTACTCTCTCAATGCTGGTGGCTGGAGGTTGGACTACATCAGGGGTTTCACCAGGATTTACTTCAGCCTTGCAGACAGCCTTGCAGACAGCTTCCAGCTGCCTCAGTCAGCCCTCTTGGTTCAGGTGGTGCTAGGAAGCATCAAGGTGTCGCCCTGTCCGCTCTCCACACAGAGCGCTTTATTCTGCTCTGTCTCAAAGCCCAGATCCACTGCAATACTGTTTCCTGAGTGCCCACGAGGTGCAGGGCCTCAGGGGTTATAAGACAGGAAGCCTGCTTCCTTCTTGTCTGCTGGCAGCTCAATGTCTGTATGGGGAGACGGTGGACAAGCATCTTCTGCCAGGTCTGGAGAGATGGGCTTGCCCGGTGGTAGGGAGAGGAGCTGGGCCTGGACAGAGAGTGAAGGTTGGTATTTTATGGCGGAACTGTAGCTAAGGCCCTCTCTATGCTGCATCCTCATCTCCATCTTGAGAATTTGTCACTGGTGTTTTGAGCAGCTACTCAGACTCCGTGTGTTAGGAAGGGAAAACTTCACAGAAAGGTTCTGTTTTGTTCACTGAATGCACAGGGACATGAACTCAGAAAGGTGTCAAGTTGTGTAGCAAGAAAAGTGTTGCACAGGAAAGTTCTAGAATCATTTGACAGCAGAGCTAGACCGTGTGCCTGCTGGGAAGGGACAAAGGCTGCCACATCCTGGCATACTCTGGGGTGGCTGCAGCTCTGTTCCTCATGCCTCTGTTCTTTGTTTCTGTCTCCACTTCAACCCCAGCCAGGCCATCCGTGAGCTGCAAGAAGAGGTGTCCCGGCTCCGTCTGCGGCTGGAGGACAGCCTGCACCGGCCACCCCAGGGCAGCCCAACATGCCCAGCGTCTGTCTTTGACCGCCCTGCCCGGACCCACAGCCGACCAGCGGACTCCCCAGCCACCTGGGGCTCCCATTATGGCAGGTGGGTGACCTCAAAACTCTCACCTCTGTCCTGGTGGCAGTTACAGAGGATAGTCTTGGCTGGCCTCTGGCTCTCCCCAGACAATATGGACTCAGGCACTGCCACATCCCTCTCTCACTCACTCATTCATTCATTCACTATAGAATTTGTTCACTGTGCAGTATTTGATGCACAAAAGAATATAAACCTTTATGTTAATAATAAAGAATAGGCCGGGCGCGGTGGCTCACACCTGTAATCCCAGCACTTTGGGAGGCCGAGGCGGGCAGATCACGAGTTCGGGAGTTCGAGACCAGCCTGACCAACATGGTGAAACCCCATCTCTACTAAAAATACAAAAATTAGCCAGGCGTGGTGGTGCGTGCCCATAATCCCAGCTACTCAGGAGGCTGAGGTAGGAGAATTACTTGAACCCGGGAGACGGAGGTTGCAGTGAGCTGAGATCATGCCACCTCACTGCAGCCTAGGCAACAGAGAGAGACTCTGTCTCAAAATAATAATAATAATAATAAAGAATAATACAATGAATATCCCTGGACCCACCACCCAATCAAAGAGTTAGAACATTGCCAGGATGCCTACCCTCTCACCCACTAATTCAGTGTTGGTTCATTTATGACAATGACATAAAATCAGCTGGCTTCTTTTGAGTGTTTCTATGGGAGGGCACTTGATGAAGGGTTTTATCTGAACATTTTCTCATTTATCTTTTTATAACCCTCTGAGGTAATTGCTCTTATTATCCCCACTTGACAGATGAGGAAACTGAGAGTCAGAGAGGCTCAGAGCCATTTTCTGTGAAACTGACTTCAGACTTCTTTACTCTCTTCCTTCCATCGTGTTAGAAGCATTTCTCCAGGTTGAGCTTCTCACAAATCACCTTTGAAGGCCACACAAAACCACATCCAATGACATCATCTCTCTTTCCTTTTGCTAGTAAATCCACAGAGAGATTGCCTGGTGAGCCTAGAGGTGAAGAGCAGATTGTCCCTGCAGGAAGGCAGCGAGCCCGATCTTCCTCAGTGCCTCGGGAGGTGCCCCGACTGTCCCTGAGTAAGTGACCACCTGCCAAGGCTGATTTCTGGAGGCCGCAGTCTGAGTGTATTGGCTCAGTGGTCAGGGACCACAGCAACAGCATTCAAGGAAACTTGGAGAAGGGTTTTTGTGCATCTGTTTTAGGATATTACGGTGCTATGCAGCACAGTGCACTTCTAATGTCCTGCACACCTACTGTGTGTAGGGTGTCTGTAAGGACTTTGTAGCTGCCATCTTGCTTAACCTCCACTGCAAGATGGTCATATTATCCACATTTCACAGATAAGGGTGCTGAAGCCCAGTGAGCGCAGGGGACGTGCTAAAGGATCAGGGCTCTGGAGTCAGTAGCCGGGATCAACCGAGCTCCCCTCCACTTGTCCTTGGCCGAGTTGTTTACCTGCTCTGAGCAGTTAAAGGGACAGCTCACCATGTAGTTATAACAGTGTCCACCTCGTGGGATTGCTGTGAAGATGCCCAACACGGCACACACACAGCGTCTAGAGTAGCGCTTGGCACAGGAGCAGGGTTCTGGAAATGCCAGCTGTTACTCCTAAGGGGGAGATTGGGGATTAAAACCCAGGCATTTGCCCCAGAGCCTAAACTCATGGTATACCCACTCCTTGAGCTGTGTGACCCCACCCCTTGCCCCTCTGATGTCCCACTTTTTCCACCTCAGGTTCAGAATCTGAGCTGCCCTCCCCGCCACTGTTCTCTGAGAAGAGCAAGACCACCAAGGGCAGTCCACAGGCAGCTCGGGATGGAAAGAGAGGGGTGGGCAGTGCTGGATGGCCAGACAGGGTCACCTTCCGGGGCCAGTACACAGGTAGGTCAGGAGGGAGGGCCGGGATAGGTGCAGCCCCTGGCGTCAGGGGGGTCTCCTCTGTTATGAGAAGCCTTTTCCATATACCCAGTGGGCCATTCACATATCATTTTCTATTTGTTCCGTGAGATGAAAACCAGGGAGCATTGCCTCCATGAATCTCGGTGCACTTGTTCATTCATTCATTCATCCATTCATTCAGCAAACACTTTCTGATGTCTCCCCTTTGCCAGGGCCCATGCTGGGTTCTGGGAAGCCTCTTCAGCTGGTCAATCCTAGAGATTCTGATCACCTGCTCTTTTCTGGCTCCGAGCGTATAGGGTGGACACTGAATTGGATGTGCCATTTGCACCTGGCTTCCTTCAGGTTCTCATTTCCACAGGGTCCCTGTGTCTCAGGAAGTAGGACCTGGCACAGAGTAAAGACTTGAGATGACACATGGTAGCATTTCAAGTGCTTAACATTAACAAAAAAATATAGATCAGGCGTGGTGGCTCGCACCTCTAATCCCAGCACTTTGGGAGGCCGAGGTGGGAGGATCACCTGAGATCAGTAGTTCAAGACCAGCCTGGCCAATGTGATGAAACCCCGTTTCTACTAAAAACACAAAAAAAGTAGCTAGGTGTGGTGGCATGTGCCTGTAATCCCAGCTATTTGGGAGGCTGAGGCACAAGAATCGCTTGAACCCAGGAGGCGGAGGTTGCAGTGAGCTGAGATTGTGCCACTGCACTCCAGCCTGGGTGACAGTGAGACTCCATCTGAAAAATAAATATATATATATATATGGATATGGTTCTCACCTTCATGAATCTGACTGTGTAGCAGAGAAGATGATAACCAGTAGGTAATTATAGTAAAGGCAGTGTCTCTCACAGACACCTTGCAGAGGAGGGAGGGCTGCTGACCTCAGATTCTGGGGACAAGGCAAGAGGCCAGAGGCACATGTCTGCTCCATGGAGCGTAATGAGGGAGTCGACAGAGGCCAAGGAGTTAGAAGTGAGAGTAGCAGGAGCACCTCCAAGCTCACTGCCCAATCTCTCTGTGACTTCCTAGCAAAAGGAAAGAGATGATATCATTGGATGAGGTTTTGTGCAGCCTTTAAAAGTAATCTTAACCCTTAAAAGTGAGCTCAACCTGGAGAAATGCTTCCAACACAATGAGAGGAAGAGAGTGTAGAAGTCAAGATCAAAGACTGTGAAGTCAGTCTCTCAGAAAATGGCTCTGAGCCTCTCTGACCCTCAGATTCCTTATCTGTTGCATTGGGAAAATAAGAGCAATTACCTTCAGTGCCACATACCCAAAGCCAGAACAGCACAGGAGGGAAATGAGATGATGAGACCTCTCCACAGTGGCTTCAGGTGTCACCCAGAAGAAACTCAGGGATGAGTGAGGAAGCCACAGTCCGTCCAGCTTTCTAATAACATCAAGTGCTTTACCTCTGCCAGGCACTGGGCGGAGCACGACACGGATATGGCCCCATTCAGTCCTCCCAACAAGCCTGTGAAATGGGCGCTATGTTTATCCCCATGTTACAGCCACTCAGAGCATGGGGAGAAAATGCCACTGACCCGGTGCCTGAGCCATTCAGATCCAAACCAGCAAGTCAGGATGTAGGGAATAGCGTCACTTGTTCATTTCTTATTGTTGCTTTGCTTATCATTTCTTCCTGGCCTGCTTTCAAATCCTGACTTAGCCTGGGTGTGTTGGTTGCTACTGAATGTCAGCTGGTTCTAGGATCTGAGATGAAACAGAGTAGGAGTCTGGAAAAAGCTTACAGTAAACAGACACAAAAATGTATGATGATGTATATGTGTGTATGTGTGTCATACTTGTATATGTACATATTTTACATGTGTGTGTGCACACTCAACATGTGCACACGTGACAGAGAAAGACAGAGACTATTAAAACCATCTGGAGGAAGAGGAGATCATTATTCCAGAATCCTCCTCAATTTTGCATCCATCCAGAGGGCTGATACTGACAGTTCTGGTTTCTTTCCCCAGGCCACGAATACCATGTTCAGTCCCCTAAGGCGGTCCCAAAAGGCAATGGCACAGTCTCCTGTCCCCACTGCCGGCCCATTAGGACCCAGGATGTGGGTAAGGAATGGTACCTGGAAAACTGGCCCAGGCAGCCGTGGCTTCAGCATCTTGCCCTCAGGGGAGTGTGTACTTGACAAGATCTGGCCTGCCCTGAACTTAGCAGTGGGTTATAGGGACAGACCAGCAGCGAGGATTTTTCTGGGTGTTCTGCCATTACATCTGTTGCTCCAGGTGCTGCTACCTGAAGCCAACCTCCTTGATTTAAGAAGTTCCCGAAGGGTCCTGACAGGTGGGCTCCAGGCAGCATGGGACCTGGCATCAGTGATTATATCTTATTCTTCCCTCCATCCTCCCTTCACCCCTCATACTTCCCCCCAAACCCACAGGGAGGAGTGGCAGAGAGAGCAGTGGTCCGAGAATCCAGGCAATGGGTTCTAGTCTCAGTTCTGCCACTTACTTGCTGTGTGACTTTAGGCCAGTTCCTTGACTTCTCTGTGCCTCAATCACCACATCTATAATCAAAGGATTGGAAGAGATGGTCTCTAGGACTTTTCAAGCAATTGTGATGATAATAACTGATGATAATGAGCTATTTATTAAGTCCCTCTGTATAGAGGGTATCATGTTAAGGGTTTTGCATACATTAATCCTCGCAGTTCTATGAACTAAGTCCTGCAGTACTGTTACATCCATTTTATAGGCAAGGACACCAAGGCGCAGAGAGATTAAGTAACTTGCCCAAGGGCACACAGCTTACAAGTGGTAGAAACTGGATTTGAACCCAGCTCTTTGTGACTCCAGAGTCCCACCTCTTCACTGCTATGCTCTGCCTATGCTAGTGTTAGAGTCCTGACAGGCCTCTCCGTTCATGCATGCATTCATTCATTCACACATCACTTACCCTTATGTGGCCCTGGGCCCTGTCCCCAAGGAACACATGACAAAGCAGAGTGACCAGAGCTGGGGTAAGGGAGCACGAGTGGGGCTGGGGGCTGCCTGACTCTGCCTGGGTGGGTGGGAGGGCTTCCCAGAGGGAGTGGTGGTTGAGCTGAGGCCTGAAAGAGGAACACGTCAGCCCTGGAACTCACCCAGGTGTGGCATTGGGGATCTGAGTGGGAAGAGAACAATGGCGCCCACTCTCCGCCTGCTCCCTTTTGCCTCTACTGACCCCCCCTGGTTCCCCGGGGGACTGTTCTGGGTCACTCTCTTGTGGAGAATGGGTCTGTTTCACTGTGGGTGAGGGGTGGGGGGTGGGCTGCATTTGGGAGAGCCCGGGCTTAGGATCCAAGGACCACTGCTTGCCAGCTCTGAGGCCTTGGCAAATTACTTGACGTCTTGGAGCCTTAATTTCCCCATCTGTAAAGTGGGGGAGTGAGGACAGTGGCTAGCCCAGTGGCTTGTTGGATATGATAAAATAATGCAGGAAGCTCTTAGCAGTGGGCCTGGCTCATTAAATGCTTGCTCTCACTGTCGTGGTTGTTGTCAGTGTCATCACCCAGACGGAGGTGGCTTGTCCCCTCTGCAGTGGGTCCCGAGGAGAGCTCAGTGCTGCAGAAGGCCCCGTGTGGGGGCTCCCGATCTGATGATTTAGACGTAATCCTCCCCTGACATCTCTTCCTCCTCTTCTAGGTGGTGCTGCCACAGGGGACCCACTGGGACCGCCTCCCGCTGATACCCTTCAGTGTCCCCTGTGTGGTCGAGTTGGTTCTCCCCCAGAGGCAGATGGTCCAGGCTCAGCCACCTCTGGTAGGGACAAACACTACTTCTTGTCTTAGCCAGGCCCTCAGCTCTCCTTGACCAGGGTTATTAGACCTGCGTGAGTTTAACTGGGGCAGCTGTTCTCCCAGTCTGGGACAGAGCAACGGGGGCAGAGGATTTCCCAAAGAGAGACCTGCCCAGCATGGAGTCTTACAGGGTAGGGCCTGTCCAGCTCTCATAGGGGAAGGGCTGGGTGGACCCTCCATCCATGGCTGGATCTGCCCAAGTGGTCAGACTCTGTCTCTGTGCTGTTCCCTCCCTGATAGGGGCAGAGAAGGCCACCAAGAGGAGAAAAGCACCTTCAACTCCCAGCCCCAAGCAGAGGAGCAAGCAGGCGGGGTCGTCGCCACGCCCGCCCCCCGGACTGTGGTATCTGGCGACAGCGCCCCCAGCACCAGCCCCTCCGGCCTTTGCCTACGTCTCCTCGGTTCCCATCATGCCTTATCCACCTGCCGCTGTGTAAGAGCCTTTCATTGTGACTTTCCCAGCCTGTTTGTATAGATCACTGAATATGTTAGCATTCAGACCTGTGTGGGGCAGCTGAGATGCAGTGTACTCCTCCTGTGTTTTATCCCTGCGTGGATAACTTGCAGTAGGAGCCCAGCACTCATGTAGTCACTCAACAAAGCCAACACTCATATAGACACTCAACAAACGCACGTACCAAGGAGAATGCTTGGCCCTGGGACCCAGCAGTGAAGGGGGCTAGCATGAGGGCCCTGCCCTCTGGGAGCTTATAACTTTGTGGAGACTGAGAATCCTAACCATCTTCCATTTTCCTTATGGGTTTTCTCAGGAAGTAAGTGATGAGCACTGGGGTTCTTAAAAAAATAGACTTTATTTTTTAGGACAGTTTTAGATTTATAGGGAAATAGAGCAGATAGTCGAGAGAGATTCCCACGATCCTCCTCACTCCCGCACACACAGTTTCCCCTATTTTGAATATCTTACGTTAATCTGGCACACTGGCCACATCAGTGAAGCAATATCCACACATTGTTGGTAACTGAGGTCCATAGTTTCTTCAGGCCGTTTTCCTCCAAAGTCCTTTCTCTATTCCTGAATCCCATCCATGATCCCACACGGTGTGCAATTGTCATGCCTCCTTAGGCTCCCCTCGGCTGTGACAGTTTCTCAGACGTTCTTGTTTTTGATGACCTGGACTTCTTTGAGGAGTCCTGATCGGGTATATTACAGGACTTTTTGCACAGATTCTGGGTATAACATCAGTCAAACCAGGAGAGGCAGGGCAGCTAAGACAGAAGTGCCGTGGGTTTGGAGTTGGCCAGAGATACGGTGGAGTCCCATCTACCCCCTAGTAGTACTGTGGCCTTGGCAAACTGACTTCCTCTCAGAGCCTCAGCTTCCCCATCTGTTAAATGGGGGAAGAGTCTCAACCACGTACTTAATCCTGTGCGTGAGGATAAAGTGTGGCACATGGCAGGAACCCAATGAGATGTATGTGGAGTTTATGGTGCCGTGTGGGCACGTGCTCACTGCTGAGCAAACAGTAGCTTCGCCATCACAGAGAATGTTGCTATTGCTCAGTGTTGTCACTAGTAGGAAGAAAAAGGAGTAAAAGTGAGTTCAACATGATAGGAGTGTGCAGGGCACAAAAGCCCAGTCCCCAGAAGTAAGAAACCTGTCTCGTCTCAGCTGTCAGCAGCTACTTCTCTGCCTGCTTCCCCTGCTGTGAAATGAGTCGATTGGGACTGGGTATCTTCAGTGGCTGTGTTGCCAGAAGCCTGGGTGTGTGGGCAGTGAGGGCCTGAGTCGCTGTGAGGGCTGGTGCTCGGTGGAGCAGGGGCGCAAGGCACCATCCAACCCTGGTCCTCTATTCGGGAACCAGGCCTATAAGTGTGCTTTAAAAAATTCTTTATTTGTATGTATTTTCTGAGGCAGGGTCTGGCTTTGTCAACCAGGCTGGAGTGCAGTGGCGCCATCTCGGCTCACTACAACCCCCACCTCCGAGATTCAAGCTATTCTCATGCCTCTCCCTCTCAAGTAGCTGGGACTACAGGAGTGCGCCACCACACCCGGCTAATTTTTTTGGTATTTTTGGTAGAGACTGGTTTTCACCATGTTGGCCAGGCTGGTCTTGACCTCCTGGCCTCAGGTGATCTGCCCGCCTTGGCCTCCCAAAGCACTGGCATTACAAGTGTGAGCCACCGCACCCAGTCTGTAAATTTGCTTTCTTGCTGCCCTCTCAGCTGAGTCTGAGCAAGTCGTTAAGGAATCTTCCGCTCCAGCAAAGATGAGAACCAATGTTGCATGCTGAGACCTCCAGCAGACACGGGGGAAGCGCCTGCTAGTGTTTCAACTCATTAGTCGGGAAAGGTTTTGCCCAGAATTTGGTGACCCCACGGTAGCCATGGAGTCTTTACTTCTCCTGAGGCCCCGTTCCACGTTCTTCCAGGCTCAGGCCTGTGGGCAGAACTCACCAGGTTGCTGTTTCCAAGTCAGGATGGGTGGGTTATACCTATGCCTCAGTTTCCTTCTCTGCAAAATGGGTTGTTATGGTGAGGATTGAATGAAGTAATGCATGGAGAGCCCATAGTACATAGAAGTTGGCCAATAATGATGGTGCTTCTAATGCTGCTAGAATTTGCGCTGGTAATACCCTGAAGTTTCTGCAGCTGCTAGTCAGCAGGACTGAACGGCCCGGTGGTTGAGACCAGTGTAGTTTGGAAAGTGGAGTGGGCTTGTGCTGCCCCCTGCTGGGCAGCCGCCCCATAGCCCCTGCAGCCGAGGCTTAGCAGCCCAGAGGGACTTTTTCAACATTGGCCCTAGGGAGAGTTTTGGGTAACTTTCAGGCCAAGTTGGTCATCAAATTAACAGGAGGTGGGGTGTATGAAAACCCAGCCCAGACAGTCCCTACTTTTACAATGGTTCGATTTATGATTTTGCGACGTTACAGCGGGTTTATAGGGGCATAACCCCATCGTAATTTGAGGAGCCTCTATAGTTACTTACACCAGACAGTCCCTAGAGGAGGGAGGGCAGGCTGCTGTTTATGGGATCCAAGAAGCCCGTTCATTCAGTTCAGATTATTTTATCAGCATCTGCTGCTTGCCAGTTAGCACACATTAGATACGTGAGGAGAGTCGGGCCTAGGTATGAACCCATGGCTGCCCCTTCCAGCTCTCTGGCCCTGGGTCTTAGGAGCTCACGTTTATGGAGCATTTACCGGAGCCAGGCAGTGCCAGGCTTTTTACCCGAATTTTCCATCAGCTGTGAGCTGAGAGGTTGCTAACTGTGGTCGTTTTAGGTGGGAAAACAGAGGCCTTGCAAAGTGACTTAGGCAGTGCTAGGCTTTTTACCTGAATTTTCCATCGGCTCTAAGCTGAGAGGTTGCTAACTGTGGTTGTTTTAGGTGGGAAAACAGAGGTCTTGCAAAGTGACTTAGGCAGTGCCAGGCTTTTTACCTGAATTTTCCATCAGCTCTAAGCTGAGAGGTTGCTAACTGTGGTTGTTTTAGGTGGGAAAACAGAGGCCTTGCAAAGTGACTTAGCTTGTCCAGAGTCCCATGGCTAGCACAACAGAATGACTGGGATTTGGGGCAGGGCTCCAGGGCCTGAGCTGCTAAGGCAGCGTATTCTACTGCCTCCTGCATCACTTAGCTTCTCTGAGCTCCACTTTGCTCATCTGTAAAATAAAGATAAAGGCACCAACTGGTACATGGGTACCAAAGATGAGGATGCCAGCCCTGGGCTAGGCACTGGGTTTAACTGTTGGAGGAACTGCCAGACTGTTTTCCACAGTGGCCCCACCATTTGCATTCCCACCAGCAGTGCTGAGGGTTCCAGTTTCTCCACATCCTTGTCAACACTTGTTGCTATCTGTCCTTTTTGATATTAGCTAGCTTAGGGGGTACACAGTGGTTTCACTTTGCATTTCCTGATGGCTAAGGATGTGCATCTTTTCATGTACGTATTGTCCACTTGAATATCTCCTTTGGAGAAATGTCTGTTTGGATCATCTGTTTTTACACACTGTATAATAATGCAAGTTAGAAAGCAGGGGCTCAGGAATAAAGCCAGAGTTTACAGTGTGCCAAACAAGATGCCAATGAATGACTCTGCTACATCCTCCTAAACTTATTCCTGATTTAGGTCCATGCTTCTTTATCTCCCTCCTCTACCACACATACCCTTTATTCAACAGTGCTGAGGCCACACCCCCCTCTTGCCCACTGCTGGTTTCCTTGAACCCTAAACTTAGTGGCCCTGATGGATGCCATTGTCACCTCTTAGGGAAATCCGTGCTTCATCTCAATGGGCTTCTCAGCCCATCCCCGCAGCACTTTTAAACATCACCTCACATGCCTGTAGGACTGGGCTAGGAAGGATGCCCTTCTACCCACTTCCCAGGACATGGGGCCAGACCCTCCCACTCCTGCAGAATCCCTATTATTATTATTGTTATTAATTATTGCCTTTATCCAGCACCCCATGCTTGGCCAATGGAACCCCCAGATATTCTCCAATGAGGGGGTTTTGCTGTCAGGCCTGGAGTGATTCTGGCCTTCCCAAGATCCGGCTCCAAGAAAGTTGCAGGAGTCCATGTTTTCTTGTCCCACTGTAACCCCAGAGCCTGGCACACTGGCTGGCATGTACTAGATGGGCAGTAAATCACATGAACAGGTAGATTGAACTTCCTGTCCTTGAACACCTGTTCTGGGTCAGACACTCGTGTTGTTATCTTCCTTCATCTTTCTAAGAAATCCCTGGATATGTGCTCATTACTCTCATTTTAGAGTTAAAGAAATTGAGACCTAGAGAGTCGGAGCCAGTGGCCCAGCTGGGATTTAGCAGGGGGTTAACCCCACACGCGGTGCTCCTTGGCTTGTCCCCAGCCCTCCCTGTGTGTAACGAGCCCACTCACTTCTCTCCTCAGGTACTATGCGCCCGCAGGACCTACCTCAGCCCAACCAGCCGCCGAGTGGCCCCACACAGCCTCTCCCCCACCAGCCCGGAGACACCGGCACTCCATCCAGCTCGACCTGGGTGACCTAGAGGAGCTCAACAAGGCCCTGAGCCGGGCCGTGCAGGCTGCTGAGAGCGTCCGCTCCACCACCAGGCAGATGAGAAGCTCACTGTCGGCCGACCTGCGCCAGGCTCACAGCCTGCGGGGCTCCTGCCTCTTCTGACTTCACTGGGGGCCCAGAGACAGATGAGTGGGCGGGTGAGCAGGTGGCCTGCCAGGCCAGGAGTGGGCTGGAGCTGCTGAGGCCCAGAAAGCCCGCATGGTTCCTCACCAGGAGGGTCTCCCTCCAGCACGGGCCCCACCTGCTCAGTCCCTGTGCTTTCCAAGTGGAGGGGGTGTCAGTTCGGTCACCAAGAGAAGTGACTTCCCAGGAGCACCAGTCCCCTCCCAGAGGTGCTGTGAGCGAGGCCTCCTTCGGCCCAGGCGGAGCCTCGGGCAGTCTCTCCTGGTCCTGCATGTGTCCACCTCCCGCTAATAATAGGTATTTTGTATACAGATGGACAGATATTTTTTTAAACTGGGGAGTTTTCCTGATCTTGGTTCCTCCTTACGGGGCCAGACAAGAAAGGAAAGGCCTACGGTTTCTGGAGCAAACCTGTCCCCCACCTGTGACCAGTCACTCTGGGGCAAGCATCTCTGGGAAGGGCACAGCCGGAGACCTTTCTCCTAGTGACTGGCAGTCAGTGGGGCATTTTAGGATGTCAGGGCCCCAGGGTAACATGTGTCCAGCTTCTCTATGGCAGCAGAGGCCTTTCCCACAGACCTGCTGGGGTGGAGACAAGCTACAAAGTGCCCAGGATGCCATCCACTGCGGTCCCCTTCGGTACCTCACACATGGTCCCCAGCTTCTCCTAGGATCCCAGTGGCATTTATCAGTGGCCAGCTACCTGCCAGGCCCGGGCTGGGGCACGGTCTGTGGCCACGAGGCCAGGCCGCCTCCCGCACCCCCACCCCGTGGCAGCGCATACCTCTGCATTTCTGGAATGTGTGTGCATCAATGATGTTTGTATATTTGAGGCATTTAAAAATCTATTTTCGTTACAAGGGCAAATGAAGAATGAATATTGATCTTAAAAAAAGAAAAGACAAAAAAAAAAAAAAATACCCAAAGCCATCCGTGTCTCTGCTGTGTGTCATTAACTTTTGCCTTCTAAAGTCAAGTTTATGGGATGGAAGATTTGAAGCCCAGACAAGCCCTTTCGCAGGGGACCTGTTGGGTGCTCTGCCTGCCTCCCTCTGGTGGCTTCTGTTTCTCCAGTTTTCCCCCTTTGCCTATCTCAGAACCACAAATCTTTCCACTGCAGAGGGCTTTGACGTGGGGCTACCTAACCAACTCGCTTTTGACTGAGGCCGGAGATGTAAACGACGCACACAGCAAGTTGCTGTCTACAAGAGCATGCACCTGGACACTCCAGTGCTCCTTTCTCTCTTCCTTTCTTTTTTTTAATTTTTTTTATTTTTTTGAGACGGAGTTTCACTCTGGTTGCCCAGGCTGGAGTACAGTGGCGGAATCTCAGCTCACTGCAACCTCCGCCTCCTGGGTTCAAGCAATTCGCTTGCCTCAGCTTCCTAAGTAGCTGGGATTACAGGCATGCACCACCACATCCGGCTAATTTTGTATTTTTAGTAGAGACAGGGTTTCTCCATGTTGGTCAGGCTGATCTTGAACTCCCAACCTCAGGTGATCCATCCACCTCAGCCTCCCAAAGTGCTGGGATTACAGGCGTGGGCCGCGGTGCCCGGACTTCCAGTGCTCCTTTCAATAGCGAACAGCAGCTGCCATTTAGGGAGCAGCTGCTGGACCCTGATCCCTGTGCTAAGCCTTTTGCATGTCCTGCTTCACACAGTCCACACGCTAACCCTCCAGGCCCTCAGTCTGCCCCGCTTTTACTGATGAGAGTGAGGTTCCACTGGGCCATCTGCCCAAACTGGTTTGGGAGAGAGCCTGTGTTTGGAGTCAAACTTGTTAGTTTGACTCCAAAGTCCACATTCTTTGTTGTGTGTTTTTTGCTTCCTGTACCTCCATGATTCTTTTTCTCTTGACCTCCTGTTTCTTCTTCATGTGGCTTTTTCTTCTACCTTCCCCACGTCTCATCTCCCTTGCTTCTCCCTGCCCTGCCCACCACGACTCATTTCTGTTTTAATTTTCAGCAGATCCTCCTCAGCAGGGTTTAAAATGGTGTCTCACTAATAGTAAAACTGAAATGGAAAAACTTCTTGTAGGTGTTGAGCCTTCAGTTCCAGGCCATTGTGGGGCCCCAGAGGCTGTTCTGTCCCCTTGCCTTCTGAGGACATCAGGTCGGTGTCCCCAGCCTCCGTGCTGTGGGCACAGCAGTGGTTCGAGTGCTGAGCAAAGGGTGCCGTAGTCTTGGCCGTGTGGAGCTTGGCTGTTAGGACAGGAGGTACAAAGGGGAGTGGTGCCTGAGGACACAGGACTAGACCCCGGGGCATCAGGGACTCAGGCTCATGGTCCTGTCACCTGGGATGGTGTAGACAGCTGCACACATGGAATTACTCAAACAACTCAGGCCCAATTTTTCTGCCACAGGAGGGGTGCTGCTTCCCTCATGTAACAAGAGGCTGTCAATCACGAGCACCCAGGTCTGGGTGAGGCCAGCCCTTCGAGGCTTGTGCTACTGAGTGGGCCATGCCTCCGGCTTGGCTCCACCTCAGGGCTCCATATTTGCAACATGTCAGCTGATTTCCAGGGACCAGCCTCACCCTTATGCGTTGTCTCCTTCTTCTGTGTCTCCCAGGTGAACACCCTGAGGACACATCCATGGAGACACCCAGCCCCTCTGGCCTGGGCCCCAAGCCCTCTGCATCACCCCAGTCCTTCCCTGGCCCAGGCAACTACCTCTTGCATGGATGCCCACAGCAGCCTTCACTCAGGCCTTCCTGCCTGCAGCCTTGACCCCCAACGTGCCTCCCCACATGGCCATGGTAATACTGGAATAAGGTCCTTGTGATTGGCACCACATGCCTGAACTCTCCCCACCTGATCCACCTTGTATTAGTCTGTTCTCACATTGCTATAAAGAAATACCTGAGACTTGGTAGTTTATGAACAAAAGAGGCTTAATTGACTCACAGTTCTGCAGGCTTAACAGGAAGCATGGCTGGGAGGCCTCAGGAAACTTACAATCATGGTGGAAGGCAAAGAGGAAGCAAGTCCCTTTTTCACAAGACAGCAGGAGAGAGAGAGCGAAGCGGGAGGTGCTACACACTTTTCAACAACCAGATCTCGTGAGAAACAGCACTCAGGGGATGGGGCTAAACCATTAGAAACCACTCCCATGATGTAATCACCTCCCACCAGGACCCACCTCCAACACATGGGGCTGAAAATTCCATGTGAGATTTGGGGTGGGGACACAGAGCCAAACCATTTCACACCTCCACTCCTGTTCCGGGTCTTGTGCCTCAAGGTTACTCAAATGCATCCTCTCATTTCCTTGCTTGCAGCAGAAACAGAAAGGGTTTTTTCTTTTTAATGAGTAGTTGAAGTTTTATTACAATCTTGCTAGTAGGAGGAAGGCCTTACCCTAGTCTCAGTTTAGAAATTCACATTTGTTTGCTTGTATTATTTTAAATGGACACATAATGTACATATTTATGGGGAACTGTGTGATATTGAATGTTCCCAACACAAAGAAATGGTAAACGTTTGAGGTGGTGGAAATGAAATGTTCATGACCCTGATTTGATCATCACACATTGTACACAGGAACAGCAGGTTGTGATATGCTCCTCATCTTTCTCGATCGGTTCATGTGCCCCTTCCAGGAGGCCTTCCCACACTTCTGCAAAAGACGGCATCTTCCCACAGTGCCAGGTTCCCACAGCAGTCGGTGCCTGTCATCATCCATCCTGGCACATGTGGGGCTCTTCCCACCAGGGACAGTGTCTTATCCAGTGCCCAGCCAGGGTTCAACTCAGGGCAGGCTTCAGAATGAATGAATGAAGAAATGACTAACAACCTAGCTGTTCCAAACACAGAAGCTTTATTGATGCAAATGAGGGAAAAAGCTGAGGTACATATGTCAGGTTGGAGGGGCAGGATGGCCCCCAAGTCTCTGTCCTGATTCAAGGCTGTGTCCTTCTAGGATTCCCCCTCCTCCTGTTTCTTCTCCTTCTCGTGCTGCCTCTCCCCCTCCTCCTGTTTCTTCTCCTTCTCGTGCTGCCTCTCCAGTGGCTCACACTTATCCTAGAAGGCAGCGGGCAGTTGGGGTGAGAGGGAAGCAGAGAGATAGGGAAAGGATGGGAGGTCTTCCAGGGAGAGGGCAGAATGCGCTCTGGCCTGTGGAACCAGTTCAACCAGGGCTCCAACCCTGGCACTGCCACTTCCAAGCTGGGTGATCTTTGGCAGGTCGTTTTCTGTCTCTGAGCCTCAGCTTATTTGCCTCTAAAATGGGAGCTCAGACCCTTAAGAACCACAGACGTTTACTGAGCACTTAGGACCTGCCGCGCCCTTATGCTGCAGCTCCTCAATTCCTCACCACCGCCACTACTATGCAGATGATGTAACCGAGGCTCAGGATGGCCGTGGGACCCATTCGAGGCTCCCTAGCTGGACAGTGCGGGAACCAGGCTGTGCATCAGGTGAGCTGACTGCAGTGGTTGTGTTCATATGCCCTCTCCCAGGATCCTGGGGCTGGGGCTGGGGCACTAGTTCACACCACTGGTGGTCATCTCTGGTGGCAAATGGATGGAATTGTTTTTTTTGAATAGTCATGAAAATATTGCATGTATGTATTTTAAAAATGGGAACGAGCTCATCGGCGCTGTGACTTCACAGATATTAGGGCACAGGGCCACACCAAGGCAAGTCTTCCGAACACAGGTTTAAAGAAAAATGTTAAGGAGCTCACGATACAGTAATTCTCATTTGGAGCAAAAATCGGGATGGTGACTGTGGCCGTGCTGCAGTGTGGGTGACACTGAAAACCATAGTATCAATTCCCCACTGCACGGGTATTAAAAATGAGCAGGAAGTGGAGGTGAGATGAAAGCCTGGAGTTTGGGAGGCTTTTGTAGGTGGTAACTCCCGGCACTGCATCCTGTCCAGCTGTCAATCCCCCAACCCCTTGGCTCACGCCGTTCCCTCCTGTTAGCTTTGAGGTCCTCCTGGTTTCACAGGGACTTCTTCCTCCTGGGCTCTCATCCACCACCCCTGGGCCTCGGTAGAGCTCAGCTGTCCCTACAGTGAGGCAGCTGCCTAAAGGCAGAAGAGCTGTGTAGCTGTGCAGCGTTGCCTGGCAGCTCTCCCGCTGTGGGCCTCTGGGGCGGCCCAAGTTGGGCCATGGACAAGGCGGGCACTGCCCAATCCCTTGTGTTTACCTTTTTCTGATCGGTGTACACGACGTCTGACCTGGGAATGCGCAAGCAGTCGAGAGCTTCGTAGAACTCACCCAGTTGCTCCTCGGTCGTCTCCGGCTTGTCAGCTGCAGGGGGAGCAAGGAGACTGACTGGGGATATGATGGGGTCTGGGCGAGAGACCAGGGAGGGCTGGGGTTCTGGGGGCCGAGCCCCAGGGGTGGGTGAATGGGGCGTGAGGCCTGAGTGGGGCATGAGCTTGGCGCTGCTAAGCATGCCTACCATAGACAGACACCCCCCAGTTCTTCTCATCGTTCACTTCGAAAGCCAGCATGAAGGTCTTCCTGTCCCTGAGGATCAGCAGGTGAGCGAAATGCTCTTGGCCTCCCACTGGAAGGGAAAAAGAGCCTCTGGGTGAGAACATGGGATGGCACAATGGTGCCCGTCCTACAGGTGAGGTACCTAGGTGTGTCCAGGACCACACAGCCCATCAGTGAAGGCCCGGGGCTTCTTTGGGCCACCGTGTGCCCAGTCCATGCTGCATGCCCGGCTCCACGCCAAGCACGTTTTGTACATGGGATCTCAGGAGCCTCACACAGACCATGGCTGTCAGGGCCTTTCTCCCCATTTTACAGATGAGGAAAATGAGGCCCAGAGAGGAGGCTTGGGCTGCTAAATGGTGTCAGTTCAGCTCCACCAGCTCCCTGCTATGTGCCATCTCTGGGGTGATGGGGGACATAGTTGAAGGCACCACCTCTCCAACATACAGGCTTCCACCCTTGGTTTCCAAAGGATCTTAAAGAGGGCATGAGAGAGAGGCAGGTCTGAAGCCAGCCTGGAGTTCCAATTCTAGTTCTAATTATAAGCTGTGTGACCTCCGGAAAACTATTTGAGGTCTCTGTTCTTCTGTTTCCTCATCTGATTCTCGTACTGTCCTGTTAGAGTTGTTTCTGAGGATGTTGTAAGAGCTCAAAAAATGTTAGTGGTTATTTCTCTGTGCCCAAAGCCTCCAGGGCTCTATATCCAGCCCCCACCTTATGCTGGCCTGCCCTGTTCCCATGGTGAACCCTCCTGCCTGGGGACTGGCCCTCACCGTATTTGGAGATGGTCCCATTTTCCCGCTGGACATTCAGGTAGCTGGTGTTATAGATGCACTGGTTCTGTCTAAAACCAAACAGAAGGCAGGAGGAAAACAGGAAGGTTATTGAGAAGTGGCCAATCGCCCATCACAGTCCAGGGGCAAGAGTCCGGTGGAGATTAAAGCCAGCCCTCCCGGTTCCTCCCGGTTCCACCCATGGGAAGGCCAAGGCCAGGAAGAGGGTCTTCCAGCCAGAAGCTGAGATGGGGGTGTGTTGGAATGGGGGCTCTCACCGGGTCTGGTACTCTCTGAGAAAGATCGTGTCCTCTGTCTTGTTGGGAGTAAAGTAAAAGAAGGTTGCTTGGATCTCGTGAATCGACTTATTGTGCTCCTCATTTCGAAAGGCCGATGCAATGTAAAACCACTTGCCAGAGATCTGGGGACAAGGTGGAAGCTGGTGATGGGGGCTTGATTCTGAATCTTTGACTGTCAGCCGGGAAGAGACTCAGGCAGATCTCTCCCTGATTTTGCAAATGGGGAGATGAGGCCCCTGATGGGCAGTGGACATGCAGGAGCTCTCCCCGAAGATCAGTCATTGTCCCCCAGGCAGCCCCTCCAGCCCCAGCACAGAACCGTACTCTGTGAAGGACTCTGCAGTGAGGCTTCTGAGTTTGGAGGCAGTCAGGGGGTGCCTCCAGAGTCCCCTGGGCTGGTGAGAATTTCACCCAGGGACCCAGAAGAGAAAAGGGCAGAGCCAGGAGCGGGGGGCCGACCACAGCCAGCAGGGAAAGGGAAGCCCAGAGAAGGGAGGTAGCTGCCCATGTGCTCAGGGCAGGGCTAGCCCAGGCACTCACCCGGTCCAGGGTGGCGTTGGTGATGGGCACCGGTACTAGGTTGGCACACAATGGAATCTGGGCTTCCAGCAGAGGTAGGAGGCTCAGGACTGTAAGAACCCAGGACAGCGCCATACTGAGATCAGGAGGTACCTGGAGCCAGGCAGTGCTGGTGGCTGCAGGGTGCAGTCACCTTTATAATAAACTGTGGGCGGTCACCTGGAGCCCAGCAAAAGTTTGCTTTGTGTCTGTGACACAATCCTGCCAGCACTTGGGAAATGCCTTGCACAAAAACCTTCCGCCAAAGGCCAACTGAGGGTACTGCCTCCAAACCCAGGTCTAATTTGAGTTCCTGACATGGAGAGGTTACAAAAGCCCTAGAGTATGGCTGCCCAAGGCCAAGGTAGATGCAGGGCTGCAGCAACATTAGTAAACGTGTGAGTCCACAGATTTCCATGGAGAGGGCTCCTGCCAGTAATCGCACATCTTCATTCAATTCCTATCCCTCTGAGTGCCAAGACTTACTTCAGTGTGACCCCGCCACAAACCTAATGATGAAGCTACCTTTGAGAGTCCCCAGGCTGGCATGGGACGTGTGTTGTGGTGGGGAGAGTTGGGGTGAGGGATGCTGGGTGAAGGCAAGCATGGCTTCAGTTCCACTGAGTGTGGCAACAGCTGTGTCAGAGCCAAAGTTCAGTGGGGCCCCAACCCAGCCCGGGACACAGGCACATTTCCAAAAAGGGACATGCAAGTCGAATGTCTATTTCCAGTAAATATACTACTCGACAGGAAATTATCTCCCTGTTTTCCCCCATTCCCTGCCATCTGAGCAGGCAGCTTG